GCATATGGCTCCATTTCGAAATAAAAATATGATAATCAGGGCAATCGTTCTTTCTTTTGTAGGGCTAAATGTTTTATTCATTTCATTTCTGATCATTTTATGGTGTTGCTTAGTATTGTTCATCGGTGAACTATTACCGACGATTTGCGGCAGTCGCTTTATGGGAAAGAAAAGGTGTAAACAGCTTTGGCGCTTTCGTAACGGTCTGGCTTTTAAACATATTTTCTACCCTCCCGATGATGATTTAAGTCAACTCTTTTTGTGACCATAAAAACAGGCGTAACCAAGCGATATGTAGGGGCAGTGAAGGCACAGTTCTCAACTGTAATTATCGATATTAAACTTAAAGGGTACAAAGCTATCATGACAAAGTCAGCGGCCTTTTTACTGAATGTTTTTAGCCTTAAAGTCTGCACAGCTTTAAATTTTTTACCTTAAATGAGCTTCAAACCTGCAACCAAAATAAAACTGAAAAAATCGAACACTTAAAATGGGAGTTAAGGACTCGAAAAGTACGGTACGGCATTTAAACGAGTTCTCTGAAGCTGGCTGAATTTTCGTGTCCTTGCAACTGTGTGGAGTTTAAATTAACTGCAGCGGTGAAGCCGTGGTAAAGGGGGAAAAACAAATGGTGTTCCAAAGCGATATGATTAATTTAAAAGATAGGATTACTGTTTCCAAGTTGGCGGACTCTTGATCGTTTAGTCCTCAGTTACAAGGTAAGACCTAAAAACAAGCGTCGACCGGAATTATCGACGGAGGGAGAAAAGACATTCTGGCATATTCACGAAATATTACTGTCTAAACAGTAGACACTTAACTGCGTTGTATCAGGATAACCTAAAATGGAAAGAAGCTTAGTTAAGAAAGTATTAGATGTTTACTGCCGAAAAAACAGGTGTCAATGTTTCAACCTTGCAGGTGCTAAGCAAAATAATGTCTTATCTAAGGTAAAAGTTGTAGACGGGCCAGACTTTCAAAAGTTCTCTTGTCGTCAGAACTGTAAACAGACTGTTATGTTAAGTTAGCCGATTACCGCTGAATACGATTGCAAGGAACTGAAAGTTGGAAAGGCAGGAAATTTGACAGGACAATTATACATGTTAGTTCAAAGTTTTAAAAAGACTTTGAACGTCATTTTGCCCTACTAGAATTTTGCTGACATAGACTTAATGAGTTTCCACCAAATTGCCTTGTTTACTATTTGACGAAGAAAAGGCAAAACTTGAAAGGAAAATATTACTTTTATTAATTTTTAATAACACCCAGTTCAGCCGTTCAATTTTAATTTCCCGAGTTAGTTAGTTTTCCGGCGCCAAGAAGTCATTAAAATGGAGTGAAAGTTCCATAGTAGAAATAATAACTTATTAAAAATTGTCAGTGTAGCGAAACAAATGGACATTTAGCATTGTTTATAGAAACGGCATAAATCATTCTTAAAATCTTTTGCAGTGATCACGAAGAATTTTTTCCCCGAAAAGCGAACACTGTGCGAAAAGAAAACCTGTTTGAAAAATAAAAATAATTGTGAATAAAAATAAAAAAAATATAAATAAAAATATTTGTGAATAAAAATAATTTTAATCAGCTTGCAGCCGATTTTTGAAAAGGCAAATGAAAAAGTCACATGCTGTGAATTTCAGACGCGTACGTTTAGTTAAAAGTTTTAGCCAAAAGAAAGTTACTAATTAAAATAAACCCGAAGCAGTAAAGCAGTTTTTAACAAGTTAACTGCATTACGATATGAAATACAATGAATTCAAACTTTCCTTTTACATTTTTTTTCTTTATACCTCGCTTACCAAGCTGTAGAAAGTTTAAATTGACAAACTAAAGGTCGAAGTATGTGAAAGCTGCAATGTTAAGGCATCTTTGGGGTTGCGGGTCAGGATTAAGATGCTTGCTAGCCGAGTGGGCCCTAGGGTGGATAACCATAGGTTTAATATTTGGAACATACAGTTCGACTCCGTTGACTAGAAGCCATTTTTTAATCCTAAAGTTTTACAAACCCTAAGTAACCGATTGCAGCTTTTCAATGATGTAATGTACTTTGGCTGGTTAACCGACTGCTATATAAAGCTTGCAGGAGTATGACCAATTATCACATCTCCTTCTGTCTTGAAAGACAATGGACTGAGACGGATATCTTAGATCGTTGTATTACTACTCTGACTATAAAGACCATGTCTCAGGCGCTTCCTGAAAAGTGGATTAGCGATCATTTCAGTTGGGTTTTCATAACTGCACCTCAGAGTAAGGGCCTAGAAATAATCGCCGCGCTTTAAAGACTCTGATTCACACTGGGAGTTAACCCTGGGCTTGAGTTCCACCATTTTTCGAGATACGGGGCCCAATACTCGAGTGGAAGTCCGCTTTCGGTCTCAATTGCAGCATATGTACGCTGTTGGTATTGAGCGTGGCTCAATTCCTCGGACCCTCCAGCTGTTCTCTCCTGGACACAGCCTTCTAGCTTGACACCTGTCCTGACCACACAACACCGAACCTCGTCCTCAGGCTTTTTCCGCCTCTCCCATTTTCTATAGGGAAAAGCCTAGGGACGAGGTTAAACAACGCCAACACCGGGGAAAATCTGCAGCTATTTCCCATGTCGGGGTGTCTTCTCGGAGGACTTAATGACTTAACACGATTTTTTATCTCACAAAAATGCCAATTATTAATATAATGCTTTCTAAAATAATACTGTATTTCAATTTTTCTTTAGTTTTAAAAAGAGCAAGTTACACTGTAAAGCTCTTTTGAAAGCCTACTATAAGACCTAAGAATCGAACGCACGATAATTTACAATATCACAAACCTGTTGTTCGAAGTTGGACCCACCAGTAAATCAAATACGCTATCCACTGGATAAGAGCAAAGACGTTTTTTAGCGATGTACCTGAAGCCGAAAGTGTTGGGCAAAACCACTGACTTCCCAAGAATGACCACTTCCGGTCGACGAGCATCGCTCAAAAACGTCTTTGCGTCTAGTGAACGGTGCTATCTACGCTTATAACAATTTTTATCGGCGCATGGTAAACATGAATATTCGCTATGTCTTTATTGTATAGTGATATAGGGGGTGGCATAGGACCTAATTGGCAAGAGCTACAAGAGGGTCAGGTGCGCGCTTGTCAGTCACGTGGCAATTAAATATGGTGGTTAACCCAACATGTTTGTCTCGATAAAGGATTTTACAAATCGATCATTAACTAAAAGGGTTTTGTTTATGGCCGGCCTCCTGCTATCTTTGTTTGCGGTTTTGATATGATGGTATTACCGACCCTATATTGTGTTACTTTATCCCACGTTGTACATTATCTTAAAATATATTTATCCTGCTATTGCAGATAGTGTTAAAATACACGTTCGCTCCGCACACCTCATAATTGAAAGAAACATTGCACAAAATAATTTTAAACTGAACGCATGTGTTTTCTTTGTCAGAAAAGGAGCTACAATAACATGCTCTGGGGTTTAATTTTCTGCATGATTGTGGGTCCACTATTGCTATTGATCTTTGCCTCAATATGACCGTAAAAACAATCGTGCACACATAGGAAACGTCCTCCGATTATCAGTTATTATTGTGTAAGTTGGGGTGTTTCGGTAATGATTGGTCAAACATTATCTACTTCTATAACATTTATCTTGTATTGAAACCAAAGTTGTAGATGAAATGCTGTAACTCGAGTTTCACGCATTTGGTTATAATCAGAATGAATCTGTCTTGTATTCAGTCTATAGCATATCAACATGGGGAACAGAAAATGTTTTACCAGCAAAAGCTTAGACTGAGTATATTGGTTTCGTTTCACACCGCAAAAAGAGGTGTGTTCATTATTTCCTCCGACAATGGTAACGTCCACAAAATTATCGTATCAATAACTGAAGTTAATAGTGTGCAGGATAAAGTGACTTAAGTTAACTGTTTTGGTAATACATCTCTTCTTTCCTTCAACTCAGTAAACATATGAACTTTAAAAGCAAGTAAAGTGAGGCCCACTCGGAATGCATTAGTTTCGTATATTAGAAATAAGCGTTTGGCTAAGACAAAAGATGTAAATTACTCAAACCATAAACACGATAATAGTTCAGTTTACAAGGTAGGTCTTGTATTCAAAATATTAAACAAAGCAAAACTTAAGTTTGAACTATCCAGTGAGACTTTTTCCTATGCCAGTTTTAGGGTCATTTAAAGACTGTAAAGACATTTAAGTTGATATAGTGAAATGACGAAAGTGACGAATCTGAATTCGAATCGAAAGACTGAATTGAACAGAAAGCTATTGACATGCAACCAAAGTTATCTGAGGCAGAGTTATTTTTAAATAACTCTGCCTCAGTTAAACTTAAAAGTTTAACTAAATATGCCATGAATTTCGCTGTACCTCTTCTATCAGTTAAGAGGAGGGAACAGAAATGCAATGGAACTTGACAGAATGAGATTCGTCTCAGGATATTACTTCGTGTTTAAGCAAACGATCATCCACGTGCCAACGTGCATCTTAATCCTTCGAAATATATAACTTCCCGGAGCCGCATGTCTCAGGGAAAGAGTTTGGTCCCCGATTTCATTGGTGTGCTGAAGGAGTGAGATTATTGTACCCGTTTTCCTTTTGAATTGTAAATCGTCAATTTCACTACTTCTTTTCGACAGACTTTGACATATCATTAACAGTTATTGGACGACGTTGAACAAAATATCGTGATTTGTCAGTGGTGAGCAGATCAATTATTTGCCAAAGCCGGAGGCTTCGGCAAATAATTGATCTGCGAGAAATAGACAAACAATGATATTTTACCATAACGTTAACCGAGTTCAATAATTGTTTTATCATTCAATCACCAAGTCGGATTTCAATGAATGTCTTCGGGAAGCGAAGCGATCTGCCATTTTCCATGCAATAGCGATCTCAAGAAGGAGAAAAGCGTGGTTTGGTTTACGCATGAGCACAATATTATTTGCAGCCAAACACAGTTGGACGACATTGCGAATGAGCAGACCATTATTTGTAGACAGTTATTTTCAGGTCAAGTGGTGGGCTTTCGGCCGATGAAAAGGAAAAAATTTGCATCGAATGATAACAATGTTTATTTCCCTTACCTCTTCAGTTGTTCGAACACTGGTTAGCGCGCGCTATCGACTGGATAAATGACTATCTAGTAGATAGGTATTACAAAAACCAGTTGCGTTATCCACTAAAAAATATAGTGATTTACCTGTCGGATAGCACTATCCACCTTATGAGCAACTGAGGCCAGGGCTTTAAATTATGGCTGACTTCATGCTTTGATTTGTTGGTCCAAATATATAAAACAGAAATTTAAACAAATCAATATGCAACAAGAGCGGCCGGGAAACAACAAAGATATCAATACCAGCAAGTTGTTCCATTTCAAATCATGTTACGTTCTCGAGTGACATTTTTGTGTTTGTCTTTTTATAAAATATACACCCAAATTACGTGCATGATGGAGGAATTTAAAAGAAATAGTGTTCTAGAGCAACATCGTATTGTTTGTAATCTGTAAACCAACAAGGCCAAAGAGGTATACGGAAATCTAGTCGTTGGTTTCATATGTTGCGCACTTTCCGAAAATTGCATTTAGATAGTGTAGTCAATCGTCACAAGTGAGATCAGATCTCCGCGTTGAGGGTGTGAATCGTACCTTTAAACCAAAGTTGTCGCTTTAGCTACAGTCTGTCTATTTCCCATCAACTGCATGTTCATTTGAAGGGCAACAGTGATCAGATATGCTTTGAACTAGGATATATATTTATATACTCGCCGATGAACCATTTTTTCCTATAGTCACCTCAGTTGTACCATATAATTATTCCCGCCTATTTAGGTGAATGGCACTTGGGGGTGACAAAAAACTGGTTTGAAACCTGTTTGGCAAATGTTATATGGCATGGCGCACGTACCAGGGTGACAATGTTGGTTGCAGTGATGAAGTCCCGGATGAGGGGGACCACCATACAAGTTTCCAGGCGAGTGCGCGCTGAATTCCATCTCAGCGGCGATTTTTCTCTTCCATTTAGTGCGGCGATTTTGAAACCAAATTTTGATTTGTGTTTCAGTTAGCTTGAGAGATTTTGAAAGTTCTGTTCGACGCGAAATTGTCAAGTATTTGCTTCTTCGAAATTCTCCCTCAAGTTCCTTCACTTGAGTTGCGGTGAATGCAGTTCGTTTTCTTTTCTTCGTTGGATCACGGCCTCTTCTTCGCTCGCGCGCACTGCTCTCGTGTTGCAATACTGAAACAAAGAGTCGAAACAAGTTTACCTGTTAATAGGTCAGCAAGTACTATCCCTAATGGACTCAAAATTACATTCAAAACCATAACGGATTGTTACTGGTCATCAACAAAAGCTAAAATAAAACTGAATGCAGAACTGGCATTACGGCAAAGGGCTGATTTATTATAGGCCAATATTTCCTTCCTAGCCTTCCTCAGGACCAGAGCTATACCGAGAGAAAATATCTTTTATAGGCTCCTTAAATTTAAATTTAATTTTGTTAGGCGAAATATTGGCCTATAATAAATCAGCCCTTTAGCGTAGTGCAAGCCCTACATTTAGGTTTGTTTTATTTTACACTTTAAGTGACGTCTGGCTACAGCATCTCTTTGATTAGAGATCCGACAAGAGGAACCAGTCAGTTATATTTACGTGTTGCGTGAACCTCTGCATAATTCAAAGAGTTTTTCCTACTGGTCATCAGTTATTTGCTAAGTGCCATTCTTTCGGGCCCAGTTTCAAGATGTGGCATCTGGGGCCCGTTTCTCGAAAGTCCTGATAATTAACAGGCCCGGAAGCTTAGCATCGAGGTTTCAGCAGTTTGCAGTTAGTATGATAAAACTATCAGTTAACAAAACAAAACAGACTGGTTTGTCATCTAGGACCCGCCCTTTTATTCAGATTTTTTATTTTAATACCTATTTGATTTCAGGCCCGAAAAGTTACCGGACTTTCGAGAAACGGGCCTCTTGATGTCAACCTTTAAAGTGACTTTTTAAATGAAATCTTTTTTAAGCACTATCTGATGGTGCTATTTTATTGAACAGAACTGAAACATAGTCTGCTTTAAGGGCCACGTTAACCGACACTAGGTATCTTAGACAACAAAAAACTCTGTTTAGCTCACTTCAATGATCGGCTTAACTTTTAATTATACTACAATTACATTTCAACTAATGCAAATTCAAACACCTTAAAAGCGCTTGTTAAGATAAGTTGAACCTACATTGTAGCTATAGCTAGGGCAAATGTTATGTCCTGATCGGATGGACAAACAATTAATAGCAATCTAAGAAAACCTGACACTGTTCCCAGTTAAAGAATAACTAAGCTCCAAAACAAAGTTTTCTAACCGGAAATCAGGCTTTCATTATTCTGGTTTCATTCTTGTATACTATTGTGTTGCTTTCTTGTCACTCATTTACTCAGTTATAGCAAGAGAGGATGAAGGGGCTCTTGGTTATAGGAAGTACATCATAAGAAACAGCACCAAAGGAAAGTACTTTTCATGTCTTAGACATCTTAAAATGCTTCAGTCAGATACTAGTTACGGTTCAGATTCAAATCTTTAAAGTCAGTTATAACTCCTGTACATGCAAATAAAGCATTTACCCAAATCTACTTGCGCGTTTGATGCCATTGCGAAATTAGGTCAAACTCATGTACAAAATCACAGTTAACCAACTAAATATTATGTTTTACCTCAAGCAATTGTCCTGTAGTAGTGAGTGCCCACCACAATCACTGATTAAGACTCGGCCTTCCCTACTTTTACTCTTTTCTTATAAAAAACTTTCAGTTACTTTAACTTTCAGATATTATGTAGAAAGGGTAAGAAATTAAGCACTTTATTTCCTAATCCAATACTCCCTTGGATGGATAATATTGCTTATTTTTCCGGAAACTTTATTTTCTGCGTCAATTTCCCCTTTCGATCCGAAATTTCAGTTTTCCATTAATTGATTATTCATTAACTCAGGTGATAAGATATACTTCTTTTTTCCGACCTCTCCACCAATGTGGTACCCGCTAAGTTTCTTTAGAGACTAATTTCGTTTTACATTTATTTTCCGGTCTTGGCTTTTAGTTTCAGTTTATTTTCTCTTGAACAACATGATCAATAACGATGGGTGAAATTTTTAGTGAAAATCATTGATAAGGCTTGTGATCTCCTTGAAAATTCATTTGACATCAACTGATACTTACAGTGGATACACAGATGATTAGATTACTCCTGTTTGCCTTCTTGAGTAGTCTTGTTTTAATTTGTCAGTTAGAAGTTCTCATTATATTGTTATAATAATAATCAGGTTGTTATTCTTAGTCAGTGAAGTCAAGTGATTCATTAAATACACTAAATAAACTTACCCGTCGTTTTCCGAGATCTGTCAAACGGGGGACAACTATAAGGCTGACATGAAGACCACGCAGAACCCAAAGGGTGATGATGAAACTGAGGTGGATAAGTTGTGTGTGCACTGTGTTGCAGGTAGTCAGGTGTGCCTTGGTGTTGGTACTCAAAAGGAAAGCTAGACCTCTGTTCTTCTTTCCTGTCGCTTAAAATGTTATCAATAGAGAAGCTAGATGAAGCGTTATACCTTGGTCGCTGGTCCATGATCAGCACTAGCTGAAGCCGCCTTAGTAAGAGTCTTCAACCGTTTGTTTGTTTCATACGAGCAGAGTCAATATAACTTTGTAAAGACCAAACTGACCTCCAGGAAATGTGTTAAATACTGATCGATATCACTCTGTAGAAACTTTTATTAGCATAAAGCGCATTTCATTGGTTAATTGATTAATTAAACTCAGCCACTGGCAAACGTTTTGTCAAGGAAATTATTAAAAAAAGACGAAACCTAAATGATGATTTTCTTTTAAAAGTCTAAAGAAAGCTAAGATGTATTTTGCAAACATTCGGAGTTTGTTGGTTGCATATAGGATAAACATTTAGCATTTCTCTTAACAGTCACTTACTATGTTTAGCAGTGGACAATGAAATTCACGCCGATAGTTATTATGAAACAATTAGGCGGCAGCATTATTCGTCTATTAGCACACCGAATTATCCGTTTACTCTTAATGGTGATAAGCCTCCGATGATTTAACCTAAACAATTTAAACCTTTATGACGATATTTTGTAGCTGTTTGCAATTTTGACGCTCAAATAAAAAATTCAATTCCTTTTTGTCTCCTTTCTTCTCTCATTGTACCGGGATTTCGTTAATATCGGCTTGTTCAAAAGTTACCCCATTTAATAACCGCTCAGTGGGATATCGAGTGTTATTTCCCTAGCTGCAGCAGGCACAGTTGTTCTTTTCTCTAATAATAGACAGCAATAAAGCGTGTTTAAAAAGAGCTATTGTTTTCTACGTTTAATTAACGTTTCTAACTATGATGAGTATAAAAGATCGCTTGAGTTTCGCGGTTTTACTCTAATAAGAGAGATATGCATATCATATTCGCTATGCAAACAGTATGGAATAGACCACAAAAACAGTAAGGGACGTTGGAATAAAAGCCATTATGTCCTATTCACAAATTTACCATGCAGTGGAACAACTCTATTGATTGAACTTACCAAGTTATTAAACTTTTGTTTTAAGACAAAATTGGCCATAATAAATAGTTCTAATATTTGTCTTCGCAAAACGCTTCAGGGTCCGTATGTCGGCAGTTCAAAGAAACTCGAAAGGTACATTCCATGGTTCGAAAGTTTGGACGATTAGACGTGCATCAGTGACAAACTGCCTTAATATAGGAGGGAAATAAAACCATATTTTTGTCAGTAAAGTTAAAATGTAAAATGTCATAGTATATTTGACTTAAAGTTTAGGCAATCTGATGCTTGAGTAAAATGCTTTCAAAACATCGAACAGACATGATGTCGTTTTCACGTCATTGTTTAAAGATCGTGAGGAATCATATTTCATTTCCGGCTGACAGGTAGCATGTCCAATCAGAGAGGAGAATAAAGTGTCATTTGTATTTAGTTAGAAATTGAACTGTTACTAAATGTGTCCGTCCTTAGGCGAAATTCCGGCGAAATTCCGCCAAAATTCTCTAAAACTCTTAAGTTCTACAAGTTATAGACTGCAAAACAGTCCGTATTTTTGCGTATTCAAGTACGCACGAGCAATCAAACAAAAGGTCTGGAACAAGACTGAAAACAGGGAGCGAGGTTCGCGCGCTTCGCGCGCGAAAGACTCTTATGCCACGTGTTACCGATTTCTTTACTGATTTTGAGAAAAAAAATCGACTGTTTTGCAGTCTATGCAAGTTATCTTCTGAATTCTTGCAGTTATCAGTTCAGACGAGACACTGAGAAATGGTTCAGAATGTCACCCTAGTCCAAAGTCACCAATTGCAAGTGCCGAAAGTAAAAACCAATCAGTGTCAAAACGTATAAAGTAGGAATCTGCATAAAAGCAATAATCGAAAACGTTGCCCAAAAAACGCCATTTGCATGTAGAACTCCAGCGACGGCTTTGGTATTATCTGATAAGCAAAGTAACGGAACAGTTAAAGAAGAAATTTTAAGAACAAAAATTCTTAATTTTTTTAAATTATGGTTTATTTCACGTAATTTTTCATTGACCATTACATGAACGGCATACTGCAATTTTTCCTTCCCATCACCCCCTGCGCGTGCAAGTTAAAAATACGACTGGAAATGATCGAGGAGTCTTGATACGGGATTGCGAAAGTTGGGAATTGGGCAAGATCATATCTAAACGAAACAGGGAAGGAAAATAATGGCTCTAATAGAAAAACTCCTCGAACTTCTCCTTCATTTTAGAAGGACCTATCCCAAAGCTTTCTTCCTGTCCGGTTTCCTTTTCTTTACCATGTTTTTTATAGTCCCAAGAATTCGCCGAAAGCTAAAGAAGCGTGGTTCGAACCCTTTCGCGTTCGACTGCCGCCGATCTGTGCAACCTCTGGTTCTTGATCAAGGAGAGCGAGATAAAGTTATCAAGCAAGGATTTGTTGCTCGTAAAGTTCCTGAGAACCTTGATGCCATCGTAATCGGTAGCGGGATTGGAGGTCTGTCTGCTGCAGCGCTTTTGGCTAAATCGGGGAAGAAAGTTTTAGTTTTGGAACAACACGATCAAGCTGGAGGCTGTTGCCACTCCTTCGTTGACAAAGGTAAAAAAGAAGAAAATCAAGGGATTAAATTTAGAGATTTTTATTGAGACATTGTTATTAAAGAGTAAGATCATACACTGCCCATTTATCGTGCATACAAGCACAGGTAGCCCAAGCTAACTATGAGAGGCTCTACTTAGTATGTGTAATAAAATGGTGACGTGTGAAATTAGGAATAATTTCACGCGCGTTTTGTCCAAATCCTAACAATTTCCCTCGCCTTTAGGATTTGGACAAAACGCAAGTGAAATTATTCCCTAATTTCATGAGTATACCATTTGATTACCTATTAATACCATGGGTGACGAATAACATTAGCAATCTTGGATTTTTGACATGTTTATCTTGGATCGTAACGATCGAGAACTCCACTCTCTCAAATGTTTAGACCTTAAATTTGACTTATAAAGTTCAGAATTTTCTAGACTTTTCCGGCAAAATACCTGTTAGAATCCTTCTTGATGTTCTCTTGTGTGTTCAGGTTTTCTAAAGCGTCTTTTTGTGCCCTGACATCTTCATTCACAGCATTTTAAAACTTCGTGGCCATCTTGACACTGAGACGTACGGACGGGTTGCCATGGCAATTTTATAATTTCACATGTGAAATTACAAATTAACGCTGAAATTTCGCGCCAAAATTAAGGAGTAATTCGTCACCTATGATATTAGCTAATTAATTAAGCTTGCATTTAGTATTTTCTTTTGTTTATTTGTGTGTTGACTTTGTTTTAGCTCTCATAGGATACCAAGAACTTGAGAATAACACTACCCTGCTAAGCTAATTAGTTATTCATACAGCAAGAAAATTAGAAGACATTGTATGAGAAATATTCTTTGGTCACCAAATTAGCAAAATGGGCATTGAATATTGCTTTAAAGCTTACCTTTAGGGTTTTCTTGTTTTTCTTTGTCTTCTGACTGTATTTCAGACCGCCTAGGCACTGTTTAATGCCTTTTTTTTTAGCGATAGTTTTTCACCCTGATGACAGAAGAGAGAAAAAAAGAGAAGGTTGACAAACCTCTCTTGACCGGGTCTGTTCTTTTGGCAGCGATAAATTCCATGACATTTGTGACATGGAGACAATTCCACTAGAAACAGATGTTCTGATGAAAAATGCCTATTTTCCATCATTCACAATGCCAAAAACCCCATTTCAAAGGTCCTAAATCACCAAAGAAGTGGACAATACATGGCCGGGGGCTAGGCGCATCGAGGGCAGCCCCACAGGGCACTGAAGGGTAGGGGCCCAAGACACGAACCCTGAGGAACACCAAATGGCAAGGGATAATAATCCGATGTCTCTCCATTTACTGACACGCGCTAGCTACGTCCAGATATATGCAGATACATGCAAAGTTGTTTTTTGCTAATTAGACCCAATCAGTCATTTTTGTTAGCCCTGGCTAAATCTATATATTATCAGCTGTTGTGTGAAATGGTATGAGATTGCTTTAGAAACCTAACACAGCAGCCCATGGGCTTGACAAGGTTCTTAAGAAATGTAACCAGATTTGAACCCTACAGTCAAGAGTGTTTTGGGTACACTAAATTTGGCTGCCTAGTAAAAATTGTACTTCCTCTTCCTTCACTGCTTTCTCCCTCATCAGTTGGCTAACAATATTTATCTTTCTTGGTGTGGCAGGCTATGAATATGACCCAGGAATTCACTACATCGGGGAGATGGAATGCAATGGTATGTTACGACTTCTCTCTGATCAGCTTACTGAAGGTCAGCTGGTGTGGGCTCCTCTAGAAACACAGTTTGATACTGTAATTATTGGAGATGGAGAAAACCAGAGGAAATATCCGGTCTGTGGTGGAAGAAATGGTGAATACAGGAAAGCCTTGTGTGACAGTTTTCCAGCAGAGAAGGGAGCTATTGACAAGTACATGGATTTACTTAAAGTGAGTTTAAATAGCTTCAAATTGCTTTTTTGAGTGTTTTGTGATGTTTGCAAGTGTTGCTTTTCTCTTGAATAACTGGCAGTGAAAATTATTCTAAGCTTAGGGAATTTTTGTCATAGATGTTGATGATTAAGAGTTGAATATTGGTTTGCTTGCTCATATACCGATAATATATCATTAATGAAAAAGAGAGTACATTACGCAGGAAACTAAAGAAACTTTGATCAACAGTGTCTGACATAACCCTAACACTAGTGTTAGTGTTAGAGTGCTTGGCCTAGCTGATCACATACATGCTATTGTTAGAGTAAGGGAGTTCCAGTTATAAAAATCATGTTTAGAGGGTCAACAATGTTATATGTTGTCATGAAAGATATCTAAGTATCTTGTTACACTGACACACTTCTACGTGATTTCTGGTCAGGAATGTCGAAAATCTATTATTGGTTATGTGGCATTTAAATTGATGCCAGTGTGGCTTGCAACAATCATGTTCAAGACTGGTCTAGTGCACTGGATGACAAATTTTTTCAAGTTTTCCAAGAGAACAGTGTCTGAGGTGTTGAGTGAGTTAACCAGCAATAAAGATCTTCAAACTGTCCTGGCATATAACTTTGGCGATTATGGTATGAGTTTCATATTTATTGACTAGATGATATAAACTAAATTACACTTCAGGGACACTATCAAAGCTGTTATTTTTAATTACCTTTTCAGGGTCAAAAAAATGCATAAAATGCCCAAAATGAATTGCACTAAAAGCTAAAAGATTGCTTATAGCTGTCACTAAAATTTCAGGTTTGCCAGTTATACAGTTGAACCTCTTTACAACGGCCACCTTGGGAACAGAGGAAAGTGTTCATTATAGAGAGGTGGCCGTTGTAGAGAGGTTTTAAACAAGAGTCAATGTATGGATTTTTTGTCCAGCAGGACGAAAAAAAGTGGCCTTTGTAGAGAGGTGTCTGTTATAAGGCCGTAAGAGGAGGTTTGACTGTATGCAATTAGCTGGCAGGAATTGATCAGCTAGTAAGTTCTTTTGGTTCATTTTCCTTTTGTTTCCTATAATAGCTGTTGGGGGTCCTGCTCCCCAGTCCCCTGTCCTCACTGACGGCCCTGATGGCAGTGATGTGTTGCAATGCCTATGGGGCAACCACTGGCTGATTTGTTAGTCGCATTGCCCAAGAATAAACGTGTATTCCTTGTAGATAATTGACTACCCTGCATGGCAGGCAGTAAAAGGGAAAGGGGTATGGGGAAAATTCAGGCACGTAAGGGTTCCCCCCCTCCTTGTTTGCCCCTCACCCTCTTGTGCATCCAAAAGCCCCGTCCTCTTCCCCTTTCAGCACCTGCCACGTAAGCTAATAAATAACGATTGATTATAAAAGGGACTTTATTGTCGTGGAGATGTGGCTTTTATTGTAATAGTTGTGTGGAATTTACCACATATCTCAAACCTTGTGTCTGCAGTAAAAGTTGTTTAGTCTTTTTTGTTGTTTTGTCCTCTTATTCATTTTTTTTTTGAGCAGGAACCCTGCCAGGTGAAGGAAGTTTTTCTATGCATTCTATACTTGCAAACCATTATTTATATGGAGCTTCATATCCTCGTGGAGGAGCAAGTGAAATAGCTTTTCATATAATTCCTGTCATTGAGAAAGTAGGCGGCAAGGTGTTAGTAAGGGCAAATGTTTCCAAGATTCTTGTAGATGAAAGTTCTGGTAAAGTTCAAGGTAAGTCAGCTTACTCAACTGTTAGTTTGGTCGTTGTGTTCTTTTTGCCCATTGGTAGCGAAAACATTTTTTACTTCGGTCATTTGAATTAAGAATTATTTATGCAACTGAATACGTAAATCAATTGTAGAAGGAAGAAATATGGACTCAACATCTCACGGCGTATTTTCCTGTGGTGACGATTCTAAGTGAAGTTCAACATAAAGATTTACAGTGTAGGAAGCAGAAAAAAGTGAGACCAGTGTGTACCCAGACCAGCCTAGGAAAGGGTGGCTGTAAACAAAGTTATTCACGTTACTGGAGAACTAACAGCAGTATTATGCTTTTCAGGGGTTCAAGTTGAGAAAGGTGGAGACCAGGTGGATATTCACGCTCCAATTGTAATTTCCGCGGCGGGTGTCTACAACACGTTTGAGAATCTTTTACGTCATAAAAGCACCGTGACTGACAATTCTCTTCTGAAAACTAAAGGTGTTCGGCATGGCTACGGTGCCATGTCTGTGTACGTAGGGCTAAAGGCCACTAAGGAAGAGTTGGGACTTAAGGCCCAGAATGTATGGGCCTTTACAGGAGATGATCTGGATAAAATCACTAAAGACTACCTAGAAATGGATGCATCTACTGTTGGTACTGAGGACATTCCGCTGTTGTTTATATCATTTCCGTCCACCAAGGATCCTGAATGGGACAGACGGTACCCTGGTAAGTTAACACCTCATCTGTGATAGTTGGTATTTTTAACCCTGTTAAGTTCAATTTGAATTATTTGTTTCGGGCATTTGCTCGGCCGCATTAGCATTAGTGCTATAAATATTGCCGAGGGTGAATAACGGAATTATTATTATTATTATTAAGGGCGAAGAAACTCCTTCCTTTCTCTCTCCACCCCCTCCCCCTTCAATGTCAAATGTCCTCAAATATACCCCAAAGGAAGGCCTGCCTGATACTCGGGCTACGGTAAAGGAAACCAGAAACTCATAAGGGGTGAAACTGAGGAAAACCCTGCCAGGTGAATGTCAATATCAATCTACACCCACTAAGCTTTACCAACAAAATTAATTGTAGAACCACTGTAGTTTACCCTGTGATTTGTTGCAAAGTTAATCTCGCCCTTGTGTTATTCTGCCGTCAACATTCGCAGGTAAAACCACGTGCACGATCATAACCTTGGCGCGGTATGAGTGGTTCGAGCAATGGGAAAACGAGCGGGTCATGAAGCGAGGCGCAGAATATGAGGAAATTAAAAACCGCATTGGTAAACGCATATGGGAACAGACTTGCAAGCTCTTTCCACAGATTCGTGACAAGGTGGATTTCTTTGATGTAGGAAGCCCTCTTAGCAATAGGTACGCTAATACAATTTACCTACATTTCACTGAAGTATATCTTCGCAGTAAGACGCCTGGATTACGCAGGCACGGTTAAAGAGAGTAAAGGGGAATGCAAAGCTTACCCCATAGTACTACACCTTACAATGTAAGTTTAATGGACTTCATTCCCCTCTTAATCCTTTTGGTTTTACAGTATACTAGGCAAAACATTGATTACTTGGAACCACACTCCAAAGTGAGGGGAAAAAGGACGAATACCCTGCGGGTAGAGGTTTCTCTCTTGCATGGCATTTAGCATTAACGAAGTCGTTCGCGTGGCTTGTCGGTTGTATGAACAAACCAACTACGCGACAGACAAGCCACGCGAACGACTTCGTAAACGCTAAAAGCCATGAAAACGGCCGATTTAGACTTTTAGATGTTTGCTTACGTACGCAACTAGCATACGTAAAGACTTTACACCATCCCCACGCGCACAATCTTCACTTGCGACATCAACAATGTGTCGTACGAATGTTGTGGGTCTTACATTTACACGACACGATCTGTCGTGAAGTCATGATGCATGCTAGTTGCGTACTATAGTCGTAAGCAAAAATCTTACAGTCTAAATCGGCTTTTAGAGAGAAACCTATGCTCGCAGGGTAAATGATGAATAACGGGGCGAGCGCGAAGAAAGAGGCGAACCGAGCGGGTTACCCCTCCCCAGTCCCTCGTTCCTAGTCCCAGGCTAAATAGTACAGTGTAGAAAAAAAATAAATTGATACTTTTCTTGCAGGTACTACATCGCGGCGCCCCGTGGGGAGATCTACGGTATTGACCATCACGTAGATCGCTTCAGTCCCCAATCGGCTGTAAAGCTTCGACCGGAAACCCCAATCCGTGGGTTATACCTGACTGGGCAGGATATCATGAGCTGTGGGTTTGCAGGAGCTATGACTAGTGGTGTTATAACTGCTTCAGCTGTATTGAAGAGGAATTTATTCACCGACATCAGCCGTCTACAAAAGGAGCTGAAGAAAACACGCTGAGCCGTGCGTGAAATGGACCTCAGTATTTTAAAGGTGGCTCAGTTTACAATTTTCATGGTTAAAAATTGTTCTTGTGTTATTGCATTTTATTAAAAGACGAACAGCACAGGAAAGAAGTGATTATATAATCACCGGCAAAAGTTTTAACCATTCTTGAGACTTTGCAGCGTAACGAACCTTTGCTTTGGCAAAATGCAACTGAAGAACTTTCCGTTGAATGGGGTCAGTCACTTATTTTAAGAATGGTCAGACTTTGGGATTTCATCCTTTGTCAAACTCGGGAGAAGAGACAGACCGACCTTAACAGCATAATACAGTACTTTCTTCGTAGAAAATACTGCTTGATACAAAGTGAAATAATTGAATTATTTCAGATTGAATGCTATTAGGCAATGCTGTTAAGGTGTCTTCATAGTCGTTCATAATCGAATTTGGGCTGAGGAGAAAATGGAATACGAATAAAACGATCATTTAAACTAAAAATTAACATGAGTTGTTTTTTCCAGGGCTGAACTTTAATAAATGTACATCATCTCTGATGCAACATACCAGTTTTGATTATTGCTTCGGCTGAAAACATTACCAACTGGGTGAAAGCACGTACTGACTCACTTACGATCGAGTGTAAATAGAAAACTGAATAAAAGTTTGTGTTCTGCTAGCTGACCAAATTCCAAGATAATATTAACGATTTGTTAGCTCAACTCGCACAAGAAGAACTCAACTCTGTTATAACTGATTTTGCGCCGTTTAAAAATATCCTAGCTCCTGATTTAATGTGGCGATGTGTACCGTCATTGGTTGGCAGTAAGAAAAATACGTGTGATATTAATAACTTAGAGAAACGTCCAACACTTTTATTTCTGCAAGTAACAGTCCTTATGGCTTAGCAGCCGAGAGTGCGTGATCTACAGCCATCATACAAGCAAACACAGTCAGCACCATTTTTGTTTTCACCTCTACCAGGTCTTCAGGCAGCGCGTATAATTTGGCACCAATTTTCCGCGACATTGAGATAGCATACTTGGCATTAGACAGCTTGTCCTCTTCTGTGTCTCCTTTGGTAACCATATTGTAGTGAATGAAACCCGGTTTTATAGCGTCGATCAAATCAAACACACATCCACTTGTTGAAATACTGGAATCCTTAAAACAGGTTATTCTGCTTTCTTTCCCGGCTTGTTGCAGCTTCTCGTTGACCCACGAGACGATTTCTTCGTCTTTGATTGGCTTGTCGCTTCCTGCGCATTTCTGTAAGATCACCAAGGTATATGCACGCATTGCCTGGTACAGGATACCCAACATCAGCTTCTTATTGCCGTCTAGTAAGTCCTGGCCGCCTATTCCAACCACTGAGAAATCGAGCGCTTTGGCAACTTCAATAGCGTAGTTGCAGTTTTCGAGTTTCTTCATTTTCTCGCTGATCTTCTTATAAGGTGGTCTGTTCACCTTGGTCCAATCCACCAGTCCATTTTTTATCTGCGTTAGTAAACAATACAACCTGATATAGGTATTGTCTTTTGTTCTAAAGGTAAATTTATGGGGATTGACGGTATTGACCACGTATACAAGTTTTAGATGTAACTCGTGCAGATAGCAGATCAAAGGGTCTACGAAAGCTTACCAGAAACTAATGGACAGGAACAAGGGGCGGGTAACTAGCGTCAAACAGTAGCTACAGTGTGCAGGTGTTTGGAGCCCCCCTGTCAAAAAAATTCCTGAATCCTCCCCTGACAGCTATGGATGGCCAACCATTTATCGTTATTCACTCTGTTAATACTGCAAAAGCACCATTCCCAGCTACCGTACAGTCTCTATTTACTCCCCTAAGTTCAGTTTTATATTATAGGGGTAAAGTTCCTGACACGTTTCGTTCTGAAACATGGTTAAGAGTTAAGCACCCTCACGTTAATCGAAGATTATGTAAAATAAACTGATGAAGAGTATAAGAGGAGGGCATCAGCCTTGGGTGTAGGTGGGTAGGCCTTTTAAGACGCGCGCCCCGAAGGATCACGCTTATTACGGGTAACATTTGTTGCCCTTAAAATGTTAGATGAGTTAAATAATGGAGTATAGCCAGGGGTGGGGTAGTATATATGATGCCTTTCCTCATTGATGATCGGTAAGAAGTATAATAGTTTCGAAAATTTGTGTTGTTTTTTGGAGTTGAACCCCTCCAGAAAACTGTTAGGCTTTATACTTTACCAGGTCAAACAGCTGTAGTAGAACAGAGCCATCATCAAGATCCAAAAAAAGGTTGTGTACAAAAGGCTTGACTCCCATGCTGTTCATCCAGTTGCGGAACGTTTTTTCCTCGCGTGTTTCCTCGAGATTGGGCAACTCCTCCTCAGCTGGTTCCAGCGCGGGGAAGTTGTTGAAAAGGTTGCACAAGAAAGCGAGATTCAGCTTAGCGTTACCTTTGATGATATCCTTCACGCGGACGAACTTGCGGCATTTCATCTTCTTGGCGTTTTCCAGGACGAGCTCTGCAAGTTTGGTGGGGTCAGATTCGCTCAGGTGTGGCTGGTCAACTCCCAGACCGGCAGGAGCGATCTGTTGACAGAGATTGAAATAACAAGAGAGCTACTTAAGGAATGTAAACAGCTAGCAGCCCCACGGGATTGACGCACATTGCCAGCAAATGAATTAACAACCTAAGTAGGGGAGGGGAAGAAACCCTACCCCCTAGATCCTTCCCTGCTTGTTCGCTCGCTCTTGTATCCATGACAACTTTGCCTCTAGTCCGGGACTACGGTGGATCAACTTTTGCAATTTATGGGCCTTTGTCACACGGCGGCCATTTTGTCCCGAGAGACTAAAGTAGCCTTGTTTTACCTGTCTAGCCTCGCTCCCAAGGTTTTCACTGCGAGGTCGACGGTGGTAAGGCAAAGCTTTTGCAGTCTCTCGGGACAATATGCCTGCCGTGTGAACATGGCCCATTGGGTACCGGCCCATTGCGCCCTGACTGTCTAAGGCTGTCTCCTCGCGCTCTCCGCACGCGCCGTTTCACTCGCCATTTGCCGTTTTCCTAGCCTGAGCCAGGCTCTCAGATAGTAGGGACGTCGAAAAAATAAAACAAGCCAAGTGCCCCGCGCGTTTTGCGCATCACTTTTTAGGGCACAACTGCACGACTATCTTGGAGGCTCGTTTTTTCCCAAGAAAAGCGATCCTAAACAAACACTTTTTAGAGCGATACACACATTAAGGTACATTAACAGCGTGCTTGGATCAACCAATGATAACCTGCGTAGATGGCGGTTTCTTTGATGCGTTTTTCATTTGTGGTTTAGCGGAAAGTAAGACTGAGATACAGCCGCGCGAAAAGCTCTCGGTTGCGTCAAGAAAATGGAGTGAATTTAAATAATAAGTACTTTCAGATTAATTTTTTCTCGAACTAAGTAGAAGAGTTAAAACTACCGTATGTTTTACCTGGTGTAGCAGCACGCTATAATTCTCACCATCTTGTATATCAGATGAAAAGTTAGCCACCCGCCGAACATGTCCGGCTTCTTGAAGTTGGTAGTTAAACCAGCGAAGTAGGATTGATTCCGGGGGTAGACGTAAAAGTTGCTCGATAGTCTCGTCTTCTTCAAGCAAACGCACAAGTCCTGGACACCTCTGGATTGTTAGTTGAGCGAACAGGCCGATCTAAAAGTTTGAATATTGCGAAGTTAACTGCCAATGCAGAATATTGGACGGAAAGGATTGATTTAAACTCACAGATCGTCTCTTGACACCGGCGTTTTTCAGCCCAACTTACTCTGAAACACTTGGAAACAAAGTGGTTGATCCGAGTGAGACACCTAGCCGACCTTTTCAAAGACCTAGGGTGGAAACGCTTGCTATACGAAAGTGCGATGATGTAAGTCTTAATATTTCACTCAGACTACAGCTAGTTGATTCACTTACCCTGATAACTTGCCACAGCAAGCCAAGAACGAGATGAGGTTTGCCTTCAATCAGATCCTGCGCTCCGATATTCACAATGTTACATCCAATAGCCATCGCTGAATTCAGCACCAGTGTTTGATTTTCATGGATATTATACACGTTTAGTTTCTTTTTGTTGATGGCTCGTTCATCAACCGTTCCAGGAACAGCCCAGTTTATCAATTTACATAGAAGAATACCATCTTCCATGGCTTTGAATAGAGCATCCTTTTCCTCTTCCTTGATTGGAAGGTATTTTCCTACAAGAGCAACAACCATATAATTAATACTGACTTCATTTATTTTAACTTTATTATGATAACATTATGATGCCAAGAAAATCTTAATCTCAAGTCTCTAATTATAGGATTTAATTAGCAATATCAATTTTCAAAGTTCGATTAGATTGGCACTATTTCATATTTTTTATATAATGTGAATCCTACAATTTTGTTTACAACTGCGTCACGAACGACTTCTGCCCGTTCAACGTTTATTTCCAGTCTCGATGTGTTAAATTCGGTGAAAATTTTCTGCGACAATTTCTGCAGTCAAGCATTGCGAGGATTAACTTCATATGAATTAGCTGCAGAAGAAAGATCAGATATATTTTGTTGTAGAGAATTGGTCGAGACGACAAATCCAAAAGGGCACATTTCGGGTGAACAAATGGACAGAATTTTTTATTACTGCCATTCCATTAAGTTATGACATATTTCGTTTGCTTTTAAAAACTTCGAGGTAAAAGAATTAAGGAAAGAAAAAACTAAGTTTTATCTGTCAAGTAATTTTTGCTTTACCTTTTAGATCTGGATCATCCTCTAAAACAGAGTTAATCCAATCACTAAATCCAATCTGCTCGTCATCGGAAAACGAGTGTCTTGTCCCTTCAGCGGAAGCTGACGAATCCCCTTCCACTTTTTGAACGCCTTTCTTGCTATCGATAGCATGTTTGTAGCGACCCCCAACCGCTTTTGAAGACATCTTTGAAAACATGTCGGTGAATTCGTCAAAGGAGATCATCCCTTCCTTTTCGCTTTGCACTTCAGAAATGATTTTCCTCAACTGATACGGTGCAACATCTTCCCCACACTCTTTCATCACGTTTCCGAAGTCTTCGCATTTTATCGACTTGCCTTTCGCGTACTTATCAAAGTTTTGCTTCATTTCTTGCATACGAGCACTCGAAAACATAGACTTGAGTTCGGAACCTTTGGTTTCCGCCATTTTTGAGTTGTGAATACCCTTTTTTTCTCTGTAAGTATCAGTCGGTATAAATCATCATGCGACTCTTTTTTTTAAAAAAAAAGCTCAATTGTTACGTCATCTTACGTCACAATCCTTTTGATTATGTCGTCATTTTGTCTGCGCCAGCAAGCCACCTTGTTCCCAGACTCAGTCTCAATCTCGTACGATTTTTTAGCATGTTTAGTAAATCGTTATTTAAATTGAATACAAACATTTCTTGAAATCAGCAGTTTTGAATAATTTTGTTCTGTAAATGAATTTCGTACATTTTATATCTTATTTCCTAATGTTTTCACTTTGAAAGAGAGGGAAAACGTAAATACTATTAACAGGCATGTTACTTTAATTCATTATATTTACATTATTCTCTTGTAATTTTTTCAGTCGTTGTAAAAAAATCATTTTCATTCTTTTCGTGTAATTTTTCTTGATTTTAGGCAATGCAGAAGGATTGCAGGAGGTAATGTTTTTTTAACGCACCCCACTCCACCCCTGTGCTCACTTACAGCTGACGTGTCAGGTCCTCTCTGCGCATGTTCGTATTTCAACCAGACTGCGCATGCCCAGTTGATAGTTTGGGAAAATTGAAGATGGCGGCAGAGTCACTGGTATTGATCTCGATCAAAAGGATTTAGAAGAAATGTTTAAGAAACTAAAGCAAAAGATCGCAGAGGAGTCGGAAGGAGAGCAAAGCCCTCTCAGGCAGCAATCGCGTGAGGGACAGGTACAAAAAATTTGTCTAGTTACACGCGTGAATGCCTCTCTTGTAAAAGGACAAATCGTCTTGTCAAGTCGTGTGTTGCAACTTTGTTCATGTAGGTAAACTTGTTTAACTTGTCAATATTTTAGTCTCCCAGAGGACCAAAGAGCAATGGAAGTACCACTGAATCTCCGTCGACCTCAGCAGTGAAAGCTGCTACAACTCCTCGAAGGAATGAAACAACTAGTTCACCATCAGCAACTCCGACTTCACAAAATAAAGCAAAATCAACACCGCGAGAAGTTCTCGATCGAGTATATAATCTTCTTGATGTCAAGGTATGGTTAGCTTACCAACATGTAAAGATCTTACTCAAGCAGTATTCTTGAAACTCGAATTAGCAAGCATTTAAATCTTGGCAGCCTCTGATATATTTGATAACTTGGTTGTGCGTCGATTGCGATTTGCATGGATCAACGACAATTTAATTATCGAGACACCTGCAATTTTTCATGTTCTTTTCAAGCATTTGTAATTTTTAATATGCTTCCTGATCCTTGAACCATAGCATTAATCATTGGTACTTCTTTTAATTCCAGTGACACTTCTCTTTATGGTACATGTATGTTTATTTCAACTTTATCAGTATCAGCAAGTTTTGAAAAAGAAATTTGTAACTAGTGATAAAGTTAAACCCTAGAGGCATAGTATAAATGAAAATAAGAATAAGAGAGTTTGTTTACTTCTCATATCTAACTCATTCAAAGTAAATTTATCTCTTTTTTGAACGAAAACATGTATCTTAGGGGGGTGTTTATGTTATATATATTTCTTTATATATAATTCTTGACAAAAGACTTTTTGCAAGAAAACTATTTTGTTTTGCTTCCCAAAAGGAGTTTCTTGATTAAGCAATGTTATGACAGGAAACATTTTTTCCCAGGGGACATAAACTTTTTTCCAGTTTTTTCATTGTTGTTGTTGGGTTTTTGTTTTTTTAGGACATATTATGCGGGTAAAAGCCTTGGTTGTGTGATAAGAATGTAGAATATGGAGGAAACCTCATTCTGTACTCATTAAACTTTGTGTCTTTCTTCATGTCTTCCAATGAAATTGCATTTTCTCAGGTTGTAATTACTGTATCAACACAATTCTCTTTAGCCATCATTCCTTCCTCCATGAAAAAAAAAACATTTTCAGGTCTTGAACTGATGCCTAAACTGACCATATTTGGAATCATGGTATAGTGATATAATAATATGATGGCTAAGCCAATCATAACCGTATAATTGCATCATCCAACGATTCAGTTTTTAATGATCATAGATAGCTTATGAACAAACGGAGTCAGAAGGAAGCAAAAATGTGACTTGAATATACAGTACACTAATTTATTGAAACCCTACTTACAACAAAAATCCAGCAAAAAACTGACAATGGAATGATATGAAGGGAATACTATAGGACATAGGACATGGTAAATATGATTAGCCATATGGCTAGCTTTCAGATATCCCACATGTACATGTAGAATTAAGGCAAAAGTTACAATACAAAATTTTAAATTTGAATGACTAACTGCTAAGGTTTCAAAGTAGCTATGATATTATAATAATTTAAAATACCTTAAGCTATAATTATGTTTTAAATTTAATAACACAAGTTATGAAAATCCAAAAAATCTAAAACTTTAAACCACAAACCCTGCTAACAAACTCCTTAGTTCCAGCTTAGTAAACATATCAGGAAGTACATTCCAGTGTTTTGCAGCAGCCAATGAGAAAATGACTGTTCTGATATTGTTAGTTAGATATTGGTAGTGGTGTTTTATTCATGATATATTGAGTGTCATGTAACGTTGTACATGTTGATGAATGATATCTTCTACAGCCTGGTCAGACTGACTCAAGGAATGGAGAAAAGCCACAGTCTGGTGAAAGCACCCCACCCAAGAGCACAAGCACTCCTAGCAAATCAGCATCACAGGATAGTATGAGCGACAATGAAACTCCCAAGAGAACAGCTGAACATCATAGTTTTGATCCACCACCCAGTCCTAGTTCACTTGGAGGAGGAAAGTCAGATGCGGAGTCTGATGCAGAGCAGGGTAGTCATGGTAACCCTTTGACACCTTCGGGGGTTGAAGGAGTTCCAAAGGAGGAGCTGGTGGCCATGTTTAAGAAGCAGGAACGAGTTTTGGCGCGTTATAAGACCAGATTTTCAGAGGTGAGTGTGACAATATAGAACAAAATAGAATATGGTTTACTTCTCAAGTTGATGTCATTCATTGAAGTTTTTGTTTTTTCTGTACACATGTTTATATAAAAGAAATTTCTCCAGCCTTTTAGGGCTATCAATCTAAGGCATAAATAATATTAACAGAACCAAGGCAGGTAGAGCAGGGAACTGCTATTATTTTTATTTCCATGTGAAAGGAAAGATCACACTTACATGTGTCTAAATCTTTTGATTAAATAAGCGTGAAAATAAAACTGTGTGTAACAGGTGTTTCTTTCGTAATTAAGCTGTAAAATATACATGCCTAAAATTTGCCCAAACTGGTAGTGTTTAGAAAAATGTATTGTTTTAGTTACAATGTACCAGTGTTGAATACTGTTACTATTGTTACATTTTAAATCAAGTTTTTGTGCACGTAGGTTTTTGTGGTGGAAGTCACACATGTTCAAAATTGTTTAAATCATTGTGGCTATCATTAGTTGTCTGGGCATTTAATCAAGCTGATTGGAATGTTCAAAGGACAAAAATGTAAATTTGAATGATTTGTGGTAACTGATATGACAACTGAATGGCTTCATTTTGCATATTTATTGTTTTTTTCAAAGTAGTTGTAGACGGAAAAATATGTAGAGTGTGGAGACAATTGGCACTCATATTTTTGCAAAAGAAATGTTTTTTAACTTCTTTAAACAGCCTGTATTGTAGGGGAAAAGATTTTGAGTTTTTTTCTTTCCATGAAGCTTCTTGTGATCATGGTTGGCAAGTTTTTTAACAATACATGTTCTTTAAATTGAGGCAGTGCTCTTGTATCTTTATTGTTCAAGGAACATGTTTTAAATCATGTTACTTTGGGAAGTTGGATATCTTCAAACTTTAAATTATATAATATCCAGGTTTTATCATTTTTATGAGTCACTCTGCTACCCTGCAAGTATCTGCGATTTAAACTTCCGGCAAATATGTTTTCACAATGTTATCTTGTATGGGAAGAGACCTTATGAAAGAGGACAAAGAAAGAATGACTCTAAAAAAGGTAAAATGCACACTGTACATGTGTATGTTGATTTGCTACTAAAACTAAAGCAGAGGAAAACAGGATTATTGTTATTCATTTTTGTGTTTTTGTTATCAGAATATACAGTGTAGCAAATAAAGATTCCCCTGTAACGTCTCCCCAAAACTTTATAGTGTCACCTTAAGCATCCCACTTTAACAGGTTTTACGGCCCTTAATGACAGCTCTGGTTATTATATTGTAGGTAACCAATGTTTCTGTTCCCTGTGACAAATGTCAAGTATGAAGGTAAAGTTGTACTGTAAGTGATTGTAAATTGAGTGTTTCATCTTTCAGGTTGTTGAAGCGTACAAGAATCTCCAAAAGGAAAATGAAAAGTTACAGGTGAGTTGTTGTGAAAATAGTTAACATACTCTGTCTTTGCTGGTACTAATGTCTTAGCAACGGAAAGAACTTTTTTACATGTGTACATGTAGTTCCTTTAGCATTCTATACATTATATGCGTATAATTATCTATGGGACATAAGTACCTTTTCAGTCTTGAGTAATGGTCTGATCCTTTCAATACATTTTAAACAGATCATTTATTGATTTAAATGTATGGTATTGTTTTCAGACAATGGAAATTTGATATTTCCTGTTGTGTTTGATTTGTTACCAAGATATACAAGAACTATTAATACTATTAAGTAAATTCAAACCAATGTTACTTTAACTACACGGTGTATAATGTACATTATACAACAGTTACATGTGGTTATAAAATTAGTGGAAATTATCTTCCTGTAGCCTTGTTTTTGTCTTCTGAGGGAAGGAGGGGTTACTTTGTTAGTAACAAATAACAAAGTATACAAACATGGATTCAGTTGTAGATGTACTGGTATATAGGAAATCAATTACAATGTGGTTATCACATTGAATGATAGCATCATTCCAACGTGGTATGGCCATGAAGCCTTGTTGGCCTTTTCTTTAGTTAACCCATTATAAGTATCACATTTAAATTTAATTGCAGACCTTACCATTGGTACTTGAACATCCTTTCTATCAGTATAGTTTTTTTGTGTGTGTGTAATACTAAAACATTTTGTAAAATTCTAAGTTATTTAAGTAAGTCTTGGTCAGCGGTCCGCAAGCAAGAGGGACTCCTTTTAAGCTGTCTGTCCAAATTACATGAATTTTTCACCTTTTAATTTTTTCTGTCATATTAATTTGTGTCTTCTTCATTGTTCTTGTATTATTTTGATTTAATGGCTGTGTATGTTACATGTGAGGAGCTTCAATGATAAGTTACTTCTATCAAAAATTGAACCAATTAAGAGCTCATTGAACTTCAGTGGGGCTGAGTTTAGCAAATTGCTGAAATGAGTAGACAAACTTGAGAAGACCGTAAAAGCTCTTGAGCTGGAAAACCAAGCTGTCAAATCTCAGCTTAATTCAGTCAATACCAAAGTAAACAAAAACACAGTTCTGTTGTTGTTCTTGTTTCAAAAAGCTCTTAAAAGAATCTGTTGTCTCTAAATATGGATTGGTTCTTTACAGCCGATTATGGACACAGCCCCTTCTTATTTTTTGTTTGTTTGTTTGTTTTTTAACTTTATGTGTGTGTACGTGTGTATTTCTTTATTTAACGTATATGTAAATATTTTTCTCCACATGGCCAGCCACTTATCAGGATTAGCATCTACTGTTTTCAGTGGCTGTGCTCCCCAGCTTGCTAATTGTCAACATGTAATTTACTTTTTTTTTTCCCTGGGGCACTAATAAAGATTGATTGTTGTTGTTTGTTGTTGTTGTTGTTGTTGTTAAGCTATGACAAATCAATAGGTTGTATTGAGTCATATGTACTGTCACTTCAGTAAGCTCCACACGAAAACAATAAATCAACTGGTTGATCAATTAGTGAACAGTATAGTCATGCAGAATTACACACTGTAACTTTGATACAAATTAATACCTGCTCAGCTAGCTAGTATTCATTAATAACTTGTGATACAGATCTGTAGTCATTGATTCATTCCACAGTTATGATGAAATATTTCACATCTGATCTGTATAGGCTTTACAATGGTTTGCCTTTTGCTTGCTATTGTAATTACACATACAGATCTCCGGTTTGTCTTTTATCCATGTCTTCAACAACTTAGTGTCTTGTACCTTTTGTAGAATAATCTCACTCAGAGTCAAGATAAAGCACTGAGAAGAATATCAGAAATGAAGGAGGTAAACTGTTTTAACTGAAATATTGAATTACCAACTTCAACTTGTCGTTAGCTCAAAGTCTTTCTCAGCTTTCTTAGTATTGTAACTATTATTAATGTTGCACTTACGTGTAAGATACTGGCTCCCTAAGAAGAACAATGTATGAGTGACCTATGCTAGTATGTGTTGTTAATATTTCTTGGACACGTATGTAAATGTGTTATTTCAGTACAGTACACGGTACCTTGTTTTTGTTGGTTTGTGTTTCAAGTACAGGTGTATATTTATTAATATTTATTATTTTGTGTGATTTCTCAAAACAAATAAGTGAGGCTTATAAGCTGACAAATATGTTTGCTCTTTTCATAGACAATTGAATTGGAGAAACAGGCCAAGATGCACTTGGAGGAAACACTTCAGTTGTCAATTGATGAAAAAGAGGAAATCATAAAAGCACTTCAGACACAGGTGGATAAACATTTAACACAATGGCAACTCAACTTCCAAATACACCATTCCAACACTGTCATCTTTTTAGCTTACAAATCAGAAAGTAACAAGCCAATAGGCAATTTCTAAGTTACCTCAAGCATCTGTTTCAAACTGAGGCTAAGTAAGAAGCCATTGATGATAAAAGGATTTTTTATTCTCATCCAAATAAAACCCATTTTCAGTCAACAAAGGTTTGGCACAGCCTCGTTTTGAACGTGAGAGTTCTGAGAACATGGAAATGACCTATTAACAACAGCCTTACAACTGTACCATTGAACTAAAACCAGAAACTCACAAGGGGTTGAAACGTGTAACTCTCATATGTTTGCTTTGTCCGATGCTCGTGATTATTCATTTTCGAAAGTACCATATTTGGAACGAGAAGAAGAGATAACTGACCAATCAAACTTCGTAAACAACGTGACGTAATTTTCCTTCATTTTCCCGCGCCTTCTTAAAAAAATGGCCGACAAACGGGGGAATGCTTTCAAAGCCGAGAAAGCTTTCAAAGGTTGAAACCAGGAATATTACCGAAACACTGAGCAGGATATTATTGCCTTACCACCTGGGCCAAACGTAACATTATGAAACCCATTGACGGCCTCGCAACTTCTTGAAGTTGTCACTTCAAAAAACGATGCCTCGTTGACCCTCTGCACAGTAAACTTATACTGCGAGTTTAAAAGTCTAGAATAAACAGTGAAAAATATTTTCGAATAAAATTCATTGACTGCGTATCGAAAGTGTCCAAAACCTGAACCTGACATTTTTGCAAAAAGTGATGCTTGTAATGAATGTGAGAAGTATTTTAAAAGCTTAAATTAAACTTAGATGTTGTAGTCACGATCGTGTTTTGAGCTAATTTTATGAATGAACAATCTCAAAACAATAGACAGAGAAGCCGTTTCTTGAAAATTTTTATTTAAAGTCAAAAAAGTTGATCCTTTAAAGCAATTCGGAAAACACTATCTGGATCGATCGTGGATCCGTTCACGCAAGTGACATCGGCTAAGCACATGGTAAAATTCAACACAAAATCCATCTCAAATCAGGGCACATTTTGTAATTAGCGCCGAAGAGAAAAATTTATAAAACGTCTATGAAACATTTAAAAATACATAAATTCCCTTTCAAAAACGTAGTTGTCTTGGCCATAGGGTGCAAAATGAACCTGAAAATTCAGCAAAAACTTCGCTGACTTGGTTGCATTTCAAAACAGACCATAGGCTCCGCCGTGAAGAAAACAAGGTTGAATTCCTCGAAGGACGATTTCTTGATGAAAAGCTTCCCTTTCTCCACAAAAAGAAAGCTGAGCATTCTTTTGAACTTTCTCTTTCCATTTTTTGTCTTTTAACAGTGTATGTTTAACCTTGAAATGCAGAACTCTTGTCTTAAAACATCTGCATGGTGATCGCGCAGCAGCCATTTTGGTGAAAATGGATATCCGTCACTAAGATTTCCAAATATGGTCAAAACGAATATTCACGAGCATTGAACGCGAGTTACACGTTTCAACCCCTTATGGGTTTCTGCTAAAACTTGATACTTGTCTTTGGGCTAGTTAGCTGCATGTGAACAACATCTTGACCTGTGGACAAGCTGATTGTCTTGTAACATCTCACTCTGAAAATAAGTGCCAATTTTTAATCTTTGTCCTGAGCCTTAAATGATCCTCAAGTTGAAGAATTTGTTTTGAGCTTTCAAATGTTCGTCAAGCAGTACAAGTGAAAAGGTTAAACATCATCTGGGACATTAGTATTTTGAAAAAATACATGTACAATCTGTTACACTTTTCATTTCCAATTAGTAAATGTATCTTAGGAGATACAATGTTCCCTCTATGCACATGAATAACCTGCCCTTACTGTACAGCTGTAGCTCCTTTTCTTTATGTCAAATAATAGGTACAGCTTCTAAAGCAACAAGGATCTCATGCAATGCCTACCACTGATGCCATAGATGCAGCTGCACTTGGTAAGCATTCGTACGTGTATTGTAAAATCTTGACAGAAATACTGAATGTCTGTTGTTTGCTTTATTCTTCTTTTCTTATTGCAGCTTCAATATTGCAAGTTACTGTATGCATATGTTACAGGTCAAAATTAAAGTCAGGTTAAAAGTTTTTAACCTAGGTTGATTCTCAATTTCCTTTGTCTCCTATAAGCCCTCATTCATGAATAATTAGGGCTAGGAGACAAAGAAAATAGAGAATCAACCTAGGTTAAAAAAGTTTTATCCTGAATTTCATTTTGACCTGTATAGGGAGTGGCTAATATTTCAAGTTGCCGGTTAAATACAACAAGTAGGTGGGGAACAAAACACCTAGGGATTCCTTTTGGTTCCATTTTTCTTCCATTTACCTATAAAAGTAGGAGGGCACCACATTCATAGCAGTCAGGGAAATTCCACGGCCCCCGCCTCTTAATGACAGCCGTGCTGTAACACATTCTTCATGTACAGGTCAAGTCAAATTTAGTTGACAATCTGATTTTTTTAGGCTTTCTTTTCTCAACTTCATAAGTTGCATCTTTAACTGTGATGATCTTCTTTGTAATTTTAATGTTGATATGTATTTTCAATTATGTTACCATTTTACAGGATCACAAAGTGATGAGGAAAAGCTTAAACAGCAAAGTCTGCTGGAGAGGGTGAGAATAACATCTTTCTACATCCTTTTGTAAGTTTAAGGTGCTAGCTTTACAAAGAAGAAAAGCCTCCCTTTATATGTAAGTATAGACGTGAATTGTATAGCAGTACAGTAAAGTTTAATCCTCCAGTCAGTAATCGTGTTACCATGGAGTTTTCAACTACAGTTGTATACTGTACGTTGGTTTTCTCACAACACAGTGTTTTCCAACTTGCAATCAGTTCCATTTCTCTTGGTTACTTTTGCAGGAGCAAACTTTGAAGAAAGATCAGGTGACCGGAAATCAAATGAGGGAAGCCAAAGCCCTGATACTAAGATTGGAACAAGAGAAGAAAACAGCAATCCAAGACATGATGGACAATCTGCAGACAGCACTAAGAGAAAAAGATGAAGCAGTGAAAAACAGCAATGAAATGAGACAAGCTCTTGAAGAACGTAATGCTCGGAATGAAGAAATGAAAAAGGAGAAGGAGGAGTTCTTTCACAAGATGGAGAAGCAGCTGGAGGAATCAGAGAAACGAAGAGAAATCACCGAGCTGAAGAAGGAGCGAGAGGTACTCTCTTTTCGATGCATGTACTTTATTTTGAGGAATTTTGTTAATTATTTAGTTTTCAGAATTATGTTTTCAAGTTTTTGTACCAAACCTCAAACCTAGTGATTAGTATACAAATACAAACAGATTTCAAGTATGAAAACTTTCAGTATATTCACAATTACACTGTACATGTAGTGTAACTACAGAACGCAGAGCCAGACTTAAAAGCCTCAGGTGTTAGACATGTATTTTGGGCCACTGATAAGGTCAGAAACTAATGATTGAAATAAACGTAACAAGTAAGAATCCGTACTGGCTGAAGGCAGCAAACCAGTTGGTTATTTTCAAGTATGGCCAAGTTGTTGAACTCGGGACTTCATGAACCAAGGACAACTCATACCTGTGGTTAGGGTGGGGGCTTGAACTTTCTTTTCAGGGGCCTCTGGGTTTCCTGAAGTCCGTTACTCTGAACACTTGGCTTACTGCCCCTTTGCATTCTAGTATTGTATTGTAGTATTGTACTGAAACTGCAATCTCCTGATTAGATTCGGGAGTTGACTGCTAAGTTTGAAGCAACAGCAAATGCAGAGGAAAAGGAAAGAAAAGCAATGATGGAGAAGCTAAAGAAAGACAAGGCAGAAGTGGTGGCTCTCATGCAAAAAGACAAGAGTGAAAAACTTGAGGAGATGCTTGTAACAAAGGAAATGGAGTTACAGGGAGCATTGACTAAGAAAGCAAAGGAAATGGAATCACTTTTACAGGCCAAGGAGGAAGAAATGAGAGCTAAATACAATGAGAAGGTACATAAACACTCACCCTTAGTCTACTGTAGGAGTTTGCCAGTTTAGTAATGGTTGATTCTTTGTTTGTGTGTTTGTTTTAATTTTAATATGCTTCATTTTAATTAGAAATTTTCAACAGTTTTCAAATTCTGTTGCTTCTTTTCCCTTTATGCCTCAGGTGAAAGAGATCGAGATTGCGGTTGACGAAAAGGAGCTCCAGAAAGAAGCAGCCCTGAAAGAGAAGGAGAAAGAGCTTCAGGCCCTTAGAATACAACTGGAGTCATTATCAGAGAGTCTGCAAAGCCGTCATTCGGAAGCGTCGCGCTCAGAGCAAGAACAAGCCAGTAAAGTATCCAATCTGCTGGCCGAGTTACAGAAGGTTACAGTGGATAAGAAAGGCAAGTGAAACGTTGAATTAAAGAAGTGTGAAACCGTTTTCATGAAGAGATAGGTAAGGCATCACGTTTACTGTGCAGATGACCACGCGGAACTTTCTCATGCCATATTTTTAACATTTTCCGTGGTCAACGTGAAGAGGAATGTCCTAACGTTCTTAAAAACCGAGCGTTTGAACTACATGTACATTCGTAATGGTTGCTTTGATTGATTAATGCGCAAAAATGACTGTGTACTTCAATAAATTGGTTGGTTCACTAAAAATCAATATTTCAGACTGTCTTTGAATCTGTCATATCAAAACGTTGGATACTGCAGAAGTGAGCGGAAATGTTCCTGACAACATTGTAGCAAAAATTTGGTTTTTCCACCTGAGCTGTTAACGCTAATTTACCACGCTTAAAAAGACTTTCTCTCTTCAATTGATGAAACCAAATTTGTGTGTTTCTGTAGAAAGTAAACCCCGGTCCCTTGTTCATACATAGGTACAGTTACATATTATAGTTCGTTAAATTTGCTTAAAATTTTTGACAGATTTGGAACAGAAGCTGTCGGAAACTCGTCAGAAACTCGACCAAGAGCAGGTTTGTTACCTTGACCTCTCTCGTAATGATAACTATTCTTTGACGCTCTTAACACCTTGTTCTTGTATCGAGCTAGGGAGATCAAATAGGCCCATTTTATTCAGTATCCAACACTGCGGTGTATCTGTTTTTGTGGACTAGGAGTAGTCTTCAATTGGTCTTGATTCTTTAGTCTTAAGGCTTTGGTTTGCCAGTCAGTCTCGTTTTTGTTTGTTGCTGTCACGAGCTTCGTCCCTCCCTCCCTTGCTCCTCCCCCTCCTCCTTCCTTGCTCTATACCTACCGCAAATCCTCTATTAACCCCCCCCCCCCCCCCGGGGCTTTTTTTTTTTAAAAAAATTTGGGGGGGGGGGGTTAAAAAAAAAGGGGGGGGGTTTTTAGGGGGGGGGGTTTTTTTATTTTGGAGAGTGGGTTTGTTGGGTTTCCTCTCACACCCTGAAAGGAAGATGGGAAAAGCTATGGTACAATCTCCTTACCCGGGCGTGGAAGCTCCTTGTACCCCCCCCCCCCCCCGAGGGCTTATTTATTTCAACCACATTTGAGGGGGGGAGCTTAATAGGCACGGTGGGGCTTATTAGAGAGGGGGACTTATTTAATTTAGCGAAGATGGTTGTATCGCTTCTCCATCAAGACCTAGAATGCAGAATGGAAAAGCTCATGTACAAGAAGTTGAAGGTCTTTTAACACTTGAATAAACCATCCTTGATAAGTCCACACGAAGTTTTACAGTCGTGATTGATTAATACAGTCTATAATTTATTAGTGAAGAATAATTAGGGGAGGGAAGGGGAGGAGAGTGGGACTTAAAAGAGAGGGGGGCTTATTAACTTTCTTCCCCTGAAAAAGGGGGGTGCTTATATTTGAGAGAGGGAGCTTGATAGAGGATTTACGGTACAACTATTCGCCTCAGTTGAATATTCCATGCACTTTATACTTTCAACCATAACGTTTTTTTTTTTTTTCATGTTTGTTCAGAGGTGAGTTCCTTTTTGGCTGTACAACACATGCATTCAATCGAGAGCTAAGAAAATCATCGTGTCGATCAATTCTTTCGAGTTTTAAGTAATGATGTCTCTCTTGTAGGTTAAGATCTCCGAGATGGTTCAGCAACACAGCAATCTTGTGCAAGAAAAACAGGACGAACAACTTAAGATGGTGAACAAGTTCAAGAAAATGCACCAAACTAAAATCAGTGAATTAACCGAGGTCATCAAAAAGAGCGAGCAGACAGTGGCCGAGATTGAAAAACAACGGAAAGAGGAGGAGGAACTTCATTTTAAAAAATTGGAAGAAAAGGAACGGGAGTTTGAATTGGAAAAACAGTCAGAGCTAGCTCGCGTCTCTAAACGGATGGAAAGCAAAACCAACGAAATGAAAAAGATCGTTAAAGAGCTTAGGACTAAACTGACTGAAAAAGAAAATCAGGCTAAAGAACTCGAGGAAAAATTGATTCTCATTCAACAAGAAACTGCTACGGAAAAAAGCGCGACTGTGAGTGACTTTGAGAAGAAAATTGAGACTCTTCAGAAGCAGCTTGCGGAGAAGGAGCGTGTTGTCCATGAACTTGAGAACAAAGCTAAGGACATTGAACAGAAAAAGTTAAACGAAATCGAGGAAATTTCCAAGGATAGAGATAATCGACTCAAGGAAAAGGAACGGCAGTTGGTAGACGTGAAAGGAAAGCTTACGGAGAAGGAATATTACTCCAAAGAACTGGAGAAACAACTTCTGGAAATGAAAACTGAAAAGGACAATGAAATTGAGGCAGCTAAACAAGAAGCTGCGGTAAAGATAAAAGAAATTGAGGCTGGATTTAGCAGCAAACGGGAAGAAGAACTGAAAGTTCTGCAATCAGAGAAAGAAAAAGAATTTATGGCAGTCAAAGACGTTGAAACTAAAAAGAACGAAATCGAAAGAATCAACGCTGAACTCAAAAAAAGGCTTAAGGAATCTATGGACAATGAAACCAAACTAAGAAAGGAATTGAACTCTGCAAACGAGAAGTTTGTAAAACAACTTGAAAACTGCAAACAGAAATATGGAGATGAACTTCAAAAATACAAAGAGCAGTTACTTCTCGTTGAAGAAAGGAATCATCGACAGCTTTCTGACTGTCAGAGTAACTACGAGAAACAGCTTTCAAATTTAAAAGAAAAGTATGAGGAAGCTCTTAATAAAATCAAGAAGGAAAAATTACTCGTCGAGGAACAGTGTAAGCTAGAGTTGCAAAAAATGCGCGCGGAACTCGATGACAAAACGACAGCCGGCAAGGACGAGCTAGGCTTTAAAGAGGCAGAGCTTATTAGTTTAGGCAAAAAAGTTGAAAGTTTAAGTTCTGAACTTAAAGAACAAAAAGAACAATCACAACGGAGCATTGATGAACTGAGCAAAAGTATAACGCTTAGAGATGACAAGATTGGTAAACTGAAGGAAAGGTTGAAGGTTGAACAAGATGCGCTTACAACACAGCAAAAACAACAAACTAAAGCAATGGAGGTTAAAGAACAGGAAATCAAGGAGATGTTGAGTAAAATGGAGAATGAATTTCAGCAGCAACTCCAGGAGAAAGATGATGTCGTGAGAGAAAAACTAAACGAAATTGCACTCCAACATGACATGGGAGTCAAAGATGTTACAGCTAGCTTGGAAAATATGAGGAAGGAGGAACTAACAAGAGCTGAAGAGCGACATCACTCAGAAATATCAGAACTTAACCTTGGTTGGGAAAGAAAGGTGGTCAGTATACGAAAAGAACATGAAGAAAACATGGAAAAGATGTTAAACGAAGCTAGAGAGAAAGAAGACAACCTGGTGAATGAGAATGTGAACTTAAGAAATGAGATCAGCAAAAAAGAAAAAGTTCAACAAGTCCAGGTGGAAGAACTGCATTCTAAAGTAAACGGCGTTTTGGAGGAGAAGGAAACGGCGAATGCGAAGGTAAGAGAATTGGCGGATGAAAACAAACGCTTTAGACAACAAATTGAGAATATTAACTTGGAAATGGAGAGTAGAATACATTATCTGACAGAGAATCATCAACATGAAATCGAAGACATTAAGAACCAGTCATTTCACGAGGTTGAAGAACTTGCCTTACAGCAGAAAAGTGATTTAGCGAGTCGCGACAACGAAGTTGAAAATGTCAAGAAAGAGGCAACGCAGAAGTTAGATGAAGCAATGCAGCGGCATAAAGATGAGATGGAGGAGATACGAAACAGTTATCAAGCAAAGCTAGCTGAAGTCACAAACACTTACCAACAGGATTTAGCGCAAACAAAGCAGATTTATGAGAAGCAAAACATAGAAATGGAAAAGCTGAAAAAATACCACGAGATTGAACTGAACGAGCTTCGAAAGAGCCACGGAAAGCAAGTTGACGAACTGTTGAAATCTGGTGAAGAAGATAAATATAAGGTCTCTAGTCTGGAGCAACTGCACCGCGAAGAAGTTCACGGCTTAAAAGTAAAGATTACCGATCTTGAAGCTAACATCGCTAAGCAGACTGAAGATTTCAACAGGTCAAAAGAAGAAATGAGAGTGAAGTTTAATGAAGAAAAGGAGGGTTTGAGAGAGCAGTTTGAACAGCTAAAGGTAAAAATTTCGGAAGCAGAAACGCAGCATCGGAGTAAAATGGAAGAATTACAGAGGGCGGCTGAAGAGAACGAGAGGAAATTTGATGTCGAAGAGAAGAAACTTAGAGAGCAAGTCGATGAACTTAGTAAAGCTGCAGAGGAAAGAAGATTAGCATTTGAAGACCAAGAAGAAAAGTTGAAAGGCGAAATTCAGAAACTTGAGGAGAAATTAGGCGAAACAGAGGCTGTGAATTCGATCAAAATGGATGAAATGACATTGTCGGCTGAGCAAATTAAGACAGCTTTCGATCACGAAGAAAAGAGACTAACAGAAGAAATTGAAAACCTGCGTAGGTCCTGCAGTGAACAGAGGGAAGAACTTGAGAGGTTATCCAGGGAGTGTGAAGGAAAAGTTACATCCGAAGAGAAACTCAAGACAGATATTGAAAAACTTAGAGAAGATCATAAGACTGAGCTTGAATCTTTGATGCAACAAGCCAAATCAGCCATGGTAGAAACTCTTAAGAAGGAGACTGAAAAACTGAAAGAACAACATAACAAGGAAATTCAGTCGTGGATGCAAAAGACGAAAGAGATCCAAACAAAACACCGTGATGTGGAGAAGAAGTTAAATGAGGAATTGAACAACTTGAAGAAAGAACATGATAAAAAAGCTCACGAGCTAGCAAAAGACAAGGAAAAGTTTGTTAACGAACTACACAAAGCTAAGGAGGCCCTTGCAAAGCAACATGATTCTGAGAAGAAGTTGAGCGAAGAATTAAAGAACTTGAAGAAAGAGCATACAAAAATGGCTCAAAATCTCCAGGAAGAGAAGGCAAAAGTTGTTGAAGGAGAGAAAAGAATGAAAGCTGAGCTACAAAAAGTTGAAACGGAGGTAAAGCAAATGTCCGAGGCCACCTCCACAAATCTCCAGAAGAAACTAGATCAAGCGAAAAAAGAAAGAGAACAAGAAGCGCAGTTGTTAAATACGAAATGGAAGGGAAAATGCGACGAGATCAACCAAAGGTACTCGAACCAGATACAAAACCTACTGCAGCAACATGATGAAGAGAAAAGAAATTTGATCGGAGAGCATTCCAAGGCTTTGGAAGAACTAAAGAAGAAAAACAGCGAGGAACGGGCGGAACTGGAAGAGAAAGCGAAGAACCAGATGGTGGAGGCTCAGAACACAATATCAGAGCTTCAGACCAAGGTAAATTGGTGAAAATAAAAACACGGCAAAGGAACGCTTGAACCCTTGAATTAGAGTCTTGCATTCTATGGTCGTCTGCACGTACCTTTCTTCCACACGTCATACAGTACCTCCACTAAGATTTTTCTTTAGGAAATAACCCTGTCTCCACCAGTATAAGTCATGTCCATCGGTGAATTTCCAAATTTCTGGCTATTGGGTAGAAATGGCACATATCGTTGTTGGGTGTCCGCGTATATCATATGCCCATTTTTATTTAACTGCAGTTGAGATTATCGTGGAAGTCTGCGCCAAAGTTGCAACTTGAAAGTCATAATTCATTTAGGTGAAAGTAGTTTCTGTAAAGGCCTGTGAAGGCTGACTCTTCCCCATTCGTCTCTCATTATTATTATTTGGCGTGGAAGACTAGAACGGGTTCTTTAATGAAGGGGATGACGGGAAGGAAGAAGGAAGAGAAGGTCTTCCCCCCTCTCGCCTTACCTAGTAAATAATTAATGAATGGAGACAACTTAGAGACGACTGGAGACGAGTCAGCTGTGAAGGTGAAACTCGAAGTCCAGTGACGGCAAAACAAAACAGTCCACAAGACAATCTTGATGTTTGTCCAGTACGTTCAGGAAGTTAATCGTAAATTTTTTAAATAAGTGAACTCCTCCTTTAGCTTATGATCATTTCCCTTTGAAGATTTGCCGCTCTGATGGTTGTTTACTTTACCGGCAGTTTCATATCTGCGATCGTTTACTTCAAATCTGCTTGCATGAGTTGTCTTCAATGTTTTTCTCGTTATTGCTCCAAGAGAGATCTCTGTCATTGTTAACAGTGTTCTTTTTTTTTAATCTGTTAGGTTAAAAAGGCGAAGGAAAAGATAAAAAACATGATTAGCAAACATGAACAAGAAATCAAAGAGTTAAAAGAGAGTAAGGACAGCACCGAGAAAGAGTTGATAACAGTGCACGAGTGCGTGTCATCATTAAGGAAGGAAGTAGCAGATACCACGGAAAGTTATGAAAACAAACTCCGGGAGGCCTCCAAACGCGAAGAGGAATTGCAACTTAAGATTGTTTCTGGAGAAAGCAACAACAAAGCTGTTGATCAAAAAATGGCAGAGTTAAGCAAAGAAAAACAGGAAGCAATAGACGCTGCAGCTTCTAAGGAAACAGAGCTGCGGCATCAGCTGCAAACGGTTCAGGCAGACTTACAAAGCAAAGTGGAGGATTTAGAATCAAAGCTTACAGCGAAGGTAAAGGAGCATTCAGAACAGGTCAAGGAGATCCAAGACGAAAAAGAGAAACAATTAGAAAAGCAATCGGAGGAACTTACGGCGCAGTATCGAAGTAAGTTGACTGAGATGAAGAAAAAAGCAGAGAGCAAGATTGCTGGTTTGAGAAAACAGATCAACACACAAGCCGTGGAGAAAGAAACTGAGTTGTCTAACGTCCAGGAGTCTTTACATTCAGCGGAAAACAGAATTAAAGAACTTGAAACGAAACATCAAGAGGACGTAGATAATTTAAAACTTGTTCACCAGGAAGAGCTAGCAACGAAACTTGCGGAGCTAAGGCAAACCTGCGAAGGTCAAGCTGGAACCCAAGAAAAGGAGTTTCGGAACCAAATTATCAACCTTGAATCACAGAACAAAGAGCTGTCTGAAAACGTTGAGAACCTAGTTGTGGAAAAAATGGATGCGTTACACGAACAAGAAGCAGCTCTAAAAGATGAGCATGAAGCGGAGATGGAGAATCTACGAAAAGAACATACTGGCGAGCTTGAGAAATGTGAAAAGAGATTCAAAGCCAAAATGGCAGACAAAGATCTGGAATATAATTCAAAAATCAAACAGCTTCTGCGAGAGTTTCAGATAAAATACAGCGAAAAGGAAAGAGAGCAACAGGAAACTGTCGGTGAATTGATTGAAAAGGGGCAGAGAGAAGAACAGAAAATTATCGACGAGTATAAAACTGAAATCATTGAGTATCAAAGAGAACTAAAACTACGAGAAGATGAAATGGTAGCTTTGAAAAACTCCACAGCAGAACGGTTAGAACAAAAAGGCAGTGAAATTGAAGAGCTTCAAAGGGAACACACGGAAGCGTTACAGAATATTGAGAGAGAGCATCATGAAACGATACAAGAGATGGTGAGAAAAAATGAAGAAGATATGGAAAAATTACACGAAGAACACAGAGCAAAAGTCGACGAAATTCACGAGAGATACAAGAACGAGCTGGAATCACAGGCTCGAGACCGCAAGTCCGAAGTTGCGGCTGTCGAAAAAAAGTTGAAGACTCAAATGAAGAAAAACCAGAACGAAATGAAAAAGTTGTTGAATCAAAAAGAGTCTTTTATACAGGCGCAGAGCGTGGTGTTGACTGAGGCAGAACCTGGACAGCTTCAAAGAACAGGGTCGTCCAACTCACTTAATAGCGTAAGTCCAGGACGCTGGAATTCTCACAGCACAGGAACTGCACTTATGCTCATACAGCATCGCAGACTGACTGCATGAAGACCCACATAACCTGACAGTAAACAGAACTTTAATTTGACGTGACTGGTCACTGATATCTATTGGGTGTTGATCACGTTAGCGTGTTTTATATTTACTCATTCATTTATTTATAACTTTGTTTGGCTGCTTGCTTGTTTGTTTATCTTTGCTGTTACCACTTAAGAAATTGGTTAATTCTTATCATTGATTATACGCGACAGGGAATGCATCACAAAGTTTCTTTTGGCGGGTTTGTTTTTATTTTAAGTTTTTTCTTTTGCGGCTTTGAACTGTTGAGCACGTTAATACTGAACAAAACACAGTAATCCTGCCTTTCTCCTCTCCTGAGCAAAGTCACTTCTTTGATACCAACATAAAAGATGTTGTTCTTGAAAAAAAAATGATGGCCCAGTACGTCTAGATGTTTCTTTATCTTGCAGTGTTTGCGTAATTGCATAATTGTCCAAACTCACCACGAAAACTTGAATTTAACGTTACAGCTGCCTTAGTCCAGAGTTTATGTTAGGATTTTGGAATTTTGATGGTCCAACTTTTGAAATATGCCAGCTCTCTTTCACATCTTCACATTCCAACTTCCTTATCTGAACTCATCAGCGGTTATGTTCAGTTTACTTAATGTTCTTGTTTTTTGAACAGGAGCCATCAGAAGATTCAAGTCAAACACTACTTAAGGTAAGGTACATTTTTGCAGCCTAATAAAGGAAAGTAACGTTTTTGACATTATAAGTAATAATTCACTAAATCCTTTATATCAAAAAAATCAAAATGAGTATTCGTGCTTGTTTTATAAACTGCTTAAGCTACTTGGAAGAGGAAAGAAGTCGAAACAAGGATTTGAGAACACACCCGTGGGCATCGAACTCGGGACCTCTTGCACAGAAGGTCACGCACTAACCATCTGTGACAATTCTTGCTCCGGTTGTGCGTCATTTTTATCAAACAAATTCCATTGTATTGAAAACAGATCATAGGATTTCTCAAAGCTGTTGCTTTCTATTTGCTCAGGATCAAATCACGAAGTTGCGGGCGGAAGTCAGTCAACTAAAGGAGCGCGAGGAATCACTTAAATCACAAGTAGGTCCAGTGCTAACGAGTTTTCAGAAAAGGTTATTGTTATGAGCCTGTGGTGCCTTCAAAAATGTTTGTCACTAACTGAGGTGTTGAGTGGTATGAACCCTGTAGTCATGTCAAAGATAAGGTGAAATATGATCCTCCGGGTGGGGGTGGTTCTAAACAGCGCTGTTGTTGACAGTGACTGACGTTTCGACAACCATTGAGGACTAAGAAAGTGACCGGGTTCGTACAGAGTTTTGAATTATTGAAAAAGTCTTGAATTTGCCCAGCAATTTTCCAGGGCTGAAAAAAATCTGTAATAATGGTAAAAAGTCTTTTTATAAGTGAATTTTTTTTTATTTGTGGTCAAATCGTTGAACTAAGTCAACTGTACTCATGCGGACAGTCATATTTCACTCAGTTATAAAACATCTGTCCCCTGTTGAGAGTTACTGTGCTGTCACTTATTGTTCTGAACAAGGTGGATCAAAGCTTTGAACTCCTGAATTGTGATCATGGAAATTGGTATGTCGAGCTATCAGGCCAAACTCTCTTAGGTTTCTCTTTACTTTCCCTTGCATGATGTTTTTAGGTTGCATAAGGGTTTATAATGTTCATAGTCAGTAGTAAATCTTTTACCTGTATGATTGCGTGACTAGACTAAGCTGCCGCGCTTTACGTACCTGTGGCTTCTGTCCAGTGCGTGTAAAAGGCTCCTTAGTAATAGTAATACTAATTTTGCTAATATTGTGTCGCTTGTGCTTTTTTCTTTTCTTTTTTTTTTTTTTAGATTGATCAACTCGGTGGATCGCCTCTGAAAGGCAAAGCAGATCGACCACCTCAGCTGAATTTAGTATCGAACCCATTGTCTGAAAATTCTACTGTGTACGACCCAGCCCCCAAGTCTCCAGTTGAGCCGACAGAATTTGAGGTGTGACTTGCTTATTCATTCTTTATCTTATTCTCTGCATCTTCCACGCGTCTTCTTTTTTTCTGACTTACTGTCTCCTTGACTTTGCAGTATCTTCGAAATATTTTGTACGAATACATGATGGGACGAGAGCGAAAGGTGAGAAGATGCAATTTGAACTACGTACGCATTTTATAACACAGAAATTCTCAAGGTTTACGTACGCCCCTCTTATCTTCTTTTCTTACCTTTTAGCAAATGGCCAAAGTGCTGGTAGCCCTTTTACGATTTAGTGCCAAACAACAAAAAGAAATTTTACAAAAAGTGGATGAACAAGTTAGTCAGGTAAGTGGACCATATACCACACTGCACCTTTCAGCACTTCACTGACAGAATTTTTGCAGGTGATTGTGACACCGTGCCTAAAACCTAATTTTGCGATTTCCCTAACTTTACAAAAGAAAGTCAGAATTGCTGTTATTCCAATCAAAGTTACTGAACAATAAGGCGGTATTGTTTATTATTATGCTCTTTAGAAGGTTAGGCACCTGCTCATGAGATAAGAAAATGTATAGGCTCTTTTGAAATACGTGTTTATGGTAATTGTTCCTACTATTACTTTTACGTGTTCTTTTGACTGCAATTAAACCCTATCTTAAAACTCGCGAATTTAAATATATTTGAATTGGTGAATAAAAGTCTTCATTCAACGCGACTGACTTTGACAACTTAAACCGTAAATGTATACTTCTACCTTTTTTTTCTCTTTTTACACTTCCTTCCGGTTTTGTTGATGTTTGTTTGTTTGTTTGTTTGTTGTTGTTGTTCGTTTGTTTTAGATATTCTTCAAGTCGATAGAAACTAAACGGAATCAAGCACACTCTAAATATGTTATAAAACGACCTTAAAACATTTCGTCATATATTTTAGAAAGCCAACTTTTTGACGTCAGGTCTCTGGGTGTTTAACAAATGTAGCAGGCAATAAATTATAAAGGCGTGATAACTGTAAATTGTCCTGATTGGTTCCACCAATAAAAGATAACAGGATCAAGAGATTTCCATGCATTGTGAAAGAATTGTCGTTGTCAAGATATGTTTTGATGATGTGATCTGGGGATGATAACAGTTATGTTTGTGATTATTTAATTTTTGTGCTTTTTGATTGGCTGAATCATCTCACGCCCCTTGAAGCATTCCTAAGTAAAATCGTAACGCATGTGACTTCCTCGTGCGCATTTTCGCCTATCTGAAGCAGGCTATCTGTATTCGCCATTTGCACATCTCCCATAATACTCCTCTTTTGCCCCCCAAAATTTTGCATAACCTTTGTTTTTCATTTCTCCTGGGTGTTACAGCCGTCCCAAGAGAAATTGAAAACAATGCTTTTACAAAATTTTGGGCGGCAAACAAGGTGCATTTTGGGATATGTGCAAGTGGCGAATTGTGAACAAGCTGTGGTTCATTTGATCGTTTGCGCTGAACGTGTTTGGCCAAACTAACATCTGCGCCGGCACTTTGCTAAGTTTTGAAAATCGTAAACTCAAATAAAACAGTAAGATAAGATAGTATTAACATGATCTTTTAGCAGGAGACCAGTGTTTGTAAACGAATAAAATAACTGTAAATCTCTGTTTTGTGTGTCCAAATAATAGTTAAATTCAGTGTAATATAACTGTGCATTGGCATTGCACTTTCTTATAACTTTCCTTTTTGATAAAAATGTCTTGAGAAATCTATATTTCGGCAGGCAATGCTCAACTAATGGCTTTTGACTACATACTTGTTACAAAGTTGTCGTAAAGTTTTTTTTTCTTGTTGAAAAAAACATGTCTAGATTACCTTTTAGTATAAAATATCGATGTAGCTTTGAATTAGTTAACCCTCGTTTAACTCTGTAAAGGACATCACTTGAACTGCTAAACGTCTGTTAAAATAGTTAGTTGCCGCCTTTCAATACACTTGTACTGACAGAAGCCTTGCGTGATTGGATCGGTCACACAACAGTTTGCCTCACCCATAATACGTGTCACGTCATTTGACTTCTTGTTTTGCCCTTTCAGGGTGGTTTGTTTTCGCCGTTTAGGTCGTAACGCAGTCCTGTTTTTTCACGCTAGAAGGTGAAGATGCCATGTAAGCATCATTAGATCAGAGAAATAGCTTAGATAGGGCAAGGTAGTCGTCTTAGAAGCACTTTACAGTGCTGTTTACATGGAGCTGATCGTATGCTCTCGAGATAGGTTGAAGAGATCATTATTTTTTTATACGAAATTTTCTGACAAATAATTATAGTCTAAAGCTGGGTCCTGTCAAAGCTCCTTAATACGGATATTAGAAGGTCAGACCCAACTGTCCGCATTACAGATAAGGCAGAGATTGTATGTAGTTCTACTTCTTTGGAGCCAGAATCCACAATAAAGTGGAGTGGAACAAGGGCAATTTTGTATTGGCAAATGAACTGCCGTCTCATAGCACCTTAACAAGTATCTCATTTGATCAAGCGTTTGTTTCCCATCTGCTGAGAATAGTTCAATATTTTTTTTGAAGTGTATTTCGCTGCTATCGCGAAAGAGTTTATCATGTCGCTTATCCCTTTGAAGTAATTTATATGTTGTTTACATTACCATACCCCAAAACAGAGGAATAAATTTAAACAAAGGATAGAATTGAACCACAACATATATATGCGCATAGTTTTATATGATCTTGATTTTGTGGCTTGTCTCTCTGACTAACTGATTGTATCTCTGTCAATCAGGCTGTCTGAGGGACAAATTTATTTGACTGCCTGACTTGCTGACTGTCTGTCTGACAGATTTTCTGACTTACTGACCGTCTGTCTCATTGATTGTCTGTCTGACGGTGTGTCTGTGACTGTCTGGCCTAGTGAATGTCTTATGGCACTGACTGCTGCAGAGTCTTTTCAGACTTTGTGTTGCTCACTTTCTGCCTTACTGGCAAGTTATTTTTTATGCCTACGTCTCCTAACCATTAATCGTTTTCGTTTGTTTTATTTTTTAGGGAAAGTCGAAGTCGTCTTCGTGGTATTAACAAAAGTGGATTCCCTCGAAGTTAGAATCGTGGAATTTAAAAATTGCCCCATGTAGCGGAATCCTCATTCCAGAATCCAGGAAATTTCTGCTTGTGGAATCTGGAATCTGGTATCTGGAAATTTGAGTTTTGGTATCCAGAATCCTAGGCTTTGGGATCACGACTACAGCTCAAGGAATCCTGAATCCCACTAACTGTTGGATCCGGAATCAGCCTTTCACTTACCAAGAATCCGGAATCCAGTAGCTGGAATCCGGAATCCACGGCGTAAAATCCGGAATCCAAGACTGTCTTGCATTCCCTTATATGGGGCGATTTGAAAGGCCTTGTTTCTCACTGTCAAGTATTTTTTTAAAAGAAAGTTTAAAGGTTTTGTATTCTTTTCGTTAAGCTTTTTTGTTGTAGACCTGAACATCGGTTCTCAGGTAAAACCAGTATTCAACTTACTTTGATTCTGGAGTTGGTTTTTTCTGTACCCTAATTATTCATAGGAGGCTACAACAAATTCTGGTCCAACCTGAGAACGAATTTTACTAACAACACATGCACAAATATCGAATTGGTTTTAAATTATGGTGGCAACATTAAAGGCTATTTAATATTATGATTATTAACAATAATTGTGTAATGAACCAAAACAAGCTGCCACTCTTGTTTTGTAAAGGTATACAAGGTTATTGTTTTGTCAAAAATTGTAAATAGTTTAAATTATGGTTATGGTCAAGAAAACATTGACTGTCCTCTCTAGGGCCTCGAGTTCGAAAATATATTTTTTACCATTATTATTTCATCGACACTCGTCCTTCGAGGTAACCACTACTTCCATATGAGGTGGTATATTACTTTGTTCACATAAAATAGAGAACCATGTATGGGCTGTTTTAATTTCCCATTAGAACGTATTTTCGTTTCGTATTTTCGTTTGATAAGGCTACTAGATGATATGGGTTTAAAACGAATCCAATATCCAGCCATCGAACATGCTTGGCCAATGAAAGATGTATTTTATCACTAAAAGCAGAAACAGAGCAGGAAAGATATGCGTCGGCCACCCAATCAGAACACAGCGTTTCCTTTATCTTGCCCTCTCGCGGAGTCAGCCAGAAATATATAAAAGATATTACAATGCGTACGCAACAGAATTCTCTTTGACACCAAGAAAAAACCTCACCACACGTGTACTCAAGAGTTTCATCAAATTGTTCTGGTAGTTTTAAGCTCAGTTTCACCACTATTGGTCATACGCTGCATTGTCTCTAAAGTTTTATTTACTTACTTATCTATGCTGTTTGTTTCTAAGTTGACTTGTTCTTATGGTAGTTCATAATTGCATAATTAAAATGTAATACTATTTCGATGGTGCTTTTAAAGCGATGAGTAGGTTATGGAAATTTTTTATTTAGTGAAAATTTACTTAACACGGCGGTGCAGTTCTGGATCCTTAAAATAAGTTGTCATAAATAAAAGGCCTTTGGTTCCCCAGCCTGTTATTTGGGCAGGGTTTGGGATGCTTATTCCTGCTTGTTTCTTTTGTTGTTGTTTAGTTTTTTGTTTATTTGTTTTTGTCCTTTTTGTACCTGGTTTAGACTACTACAGAAAGGCTTTGATTATTCTTGTGGACGGAGAACCTGCTAATCTGCAAACGCGCGCGCGTCCCATGACAAGAGAAGCAAGTTTCGCTCGCGCGTGATGATATTCCTCTTTCACATTCCATGACCAATGGAACTACGCCTCGTTATCAACGTGTAATTTAGATCAGGGAAGGTCCAAACTGAAAAGGTACACTTCCAAATGTGCTTAAAAAATCGTAAAAAAGTCTTTAAAGCCGTTCTAGATAGAAAACTTCCATTTCTTCACTATAAAAACATGATCATGGTATCGGACAAAAACGTGACATTTCTTTGTCTTTTTTTTAGCCAAATAGGCCGAGCAAAAGTGTTTCGTAAGGTTCTACATAAAAAACTACCCTTTCTAGACCATAAAAACATCAATATAAAAGATCGCAAAATTCGCATTTTTCCAAAGGGGTTAGTCCATGGTTTTTGACCGCAACCATGGACTAAGTTTCGCGACCTTCTCTAAAGACATCGAAGCAAAAAAGTCGCCAACTTTTCTTTTTAGTCAAAATAGGCCGAGAAAAACTGTTTAATGACGTTCTAGATAGAGTAATAGCCTTTCTAGACAATAAAAACAAAAATATAAAAAGGTCGCAAAATTTGCATTTTTCCAAAGGGGCTAGTCCATGAATTTGGTTGAAAACTAGCCCTTTCTTAAACTTTTACTTTTGAGGCAAAATGTGCCGAAACAAACGGTTTAGTGATCTTCTAGATATAATAATAGCCCTTCTAGACTATAAAAACATCAATATAAAACGGTCGCAAAATTTGCATTTTTCCAAAGGGGTTAGTCTATGAATTTGGTTAAAAATTAGCTCTTTCTTAAACTTTTCTTTTAAAGCAAACTATGCCAAGAAAAACTGTTTAGTGACGTTCTAGATAGAATAATAGCTTTTCTAGACTATAAAAACATCAATACAAATAGGTCGCAAAATTTCCATTTTTCCAAAGGGGTTAGTCCATGCTTTTGGGCAAAAATTGGACATTTGTTCAACTTTTCTTTTTAGGCAAAATAGACCGAGAAAACCTCTTTGGTAATGTTCTAGATATAATAAAAGCCCCTCTAGACTATAAAAACATCAATATAAAAAGGTCGCAAAATCTGCATTTTTCCATGGCAGTTAGTCCATGGATTTGGTCAAAAATTGGACCTTTGTTTAATTTTTCTTTTTATGCAAAATGTGCTGAGAAAAACTGTTTAGTGATGTTCTAGATATAATAATTGCTTTTCTAGACTATAAAAAACATCAATACAAATAGGTCGCAAAATTTGCATTTTCCAAAGGGGTTAGTCCATGCTTTTAGTCAAAAATTGGACATTTGTTCAATTTTTGTTTTTAGGCAAAATAGACCGAGAAAACATCTTTGGTAATGTTCTAGATCTAATAAAAGCTCCTCTAGACTATAAAAACATCAATATAAAAAGGTCGCAAAATCTGCATTTTTCCATGGCAGTTAGTCCATGGATTTGGTCAAAAATTGGACCTTTGTTTAACTTTTCTTTTTATGCAAAATGTGCTGAGAAAAACTGTTTAGTGATGTTCTAGATATAATAATTGCTTTTCTAGACTATGAAAACATCAATACAAATAGGACGCAAAATTTCCATTTTTCAAAGGGGTTAGTCCATGGTTTTGGTCAAAAATTGGACATTTCTTCGACTTTTTTTTTTTAGGCAAAATAGGCCGAGAAAAACTGTGTAACGATCTTCCGGATAGAATAATAGCCTTTCTAGACAATAAAAACAACAATATAAAAAGGTCACAAAATTTGCATTTTTCCAAAGGGGTTAGTCCATGCTTCTAGTCAAAAATTGGACATTTGTTCAACTTTTCTTTTTAGGCAAAATAGGCCAAGAAAACCGCTTTCGTAATGTTCTAGATATAATAAAAGCCCCTCTAGACTATAAAAACATCAATATAAAAAGGTCGCAAAATCTGCATTTTTCCATGGCAGTTAGTCCATGGTTTTGGTCAAAAATTGGACATTTCTTTAGCTTTTCTTTTTAGGCAAAATGTGCCGAGAAAAACTGTTTACTGGTGTTCTAGATATAATAATAGCTTTTCTAGAGTATAAAAACATCAATACAAATAGATCGAAACATTTGCATTTTTCCAAAGGGGCTAGTCCATGATTTTGGTCAACAATTGGACATTTCTTCAACTTTTCTTTTAAAGTAAAATATGCCAAGAAAAACCGTTTAGTCACGTTCTAGATATAAAAATAGCTTTTCTAGACTATAAAAACATCAATACAAATAAGTCGAAAAATTTCCATTTTTCTAAAGGGGTTAGTCCATGCTTTTGGGCAAAAATTTGACATTTCTTCAACTTTTCTTTTTAGGCAAAAAAGCCAAAAACAAACGGTTTAGTAATCTTCTAGATATAATAACAGCCCTTCTAGAATATAAAAACATCAATTTAAAAAGATCGCAAAATTTGCATTTTTCCAAAGGGGCTAGTCCATAAATTTGGTTGAAAATTAGCCCTTTCTTAAACTTTCCTTTTAAAGCAAAATATTCCAAGAAAAACTGTTTAGTGACGTTCTAGATATAATAATAACTTTTCTAGACTATAAAAACATCAATACAAATAGGTCGCAAAATTTATAATTTTCCAAAGGGGTTAGTCCATGGTTTTGGTAAAAATTGGACATTTCTTCGACTTTTTTTTTAGGCAAAATATGCCGAGAAAAACTGTTTAACGATCTTCTACATAGAATAATAGCCTTTCTTGACAATAAAAACAACAATAAAAAAAGGTCGCAAACTTTGCATTTCTCCAAAGGGGTTAGTTAATGGTTTTGGTCAAAAATTGGACATTTCTTCGAGTTTTTTTTAGGCAAAAAAAGGCCGAGAAAAACTGTTTAGTGACGTTCTAGATAGAATAATAGCTTTTCTAGACTATAAAAACATCAATACAAATAGGTCGCAAAATTTGCATATTTCCAAAGGGGTTAGTCCATGCTTTTAGTCAAAAATTGGACATTTGTTCAATTTTTGTTTTTAGGCAAAATAGACCGAGAAAACATCTTTGGTAATGTTCTAGATATAATAAAAGCCCCTCTAGACTATAAAAACATCAATATAAAAAGGTCGCAAAATCTGCATTTTTCCATGGCAGTTAGTCCATGGATTTGGTCAAAAATTGGACCTTTGTTTAATTTTTCTTTTTAGGCAAAATGTGCTGAGAAAAACTGTTTAGTGATGTTCTAGATATAATAATTGCTTTTCTAGACTATAAAAACATCAATCCAATTAAGTCGAAACATTTGCATTTTTCCAAAGGGGCTAGTCCATGATTTTGGTCAACAATTGGACATTTCTTCAACTTTTCTTTTAAAGCAAAATATGCCAAGAAAAACCGTTTAGTCACGTTCTAGATATAAAAATAGCTTTTCTAGACTATAAAAACATCAATACAAATAAGTCGCAAAATTTCCATTTTTCTAAAGGGGTTAGTCCATGCTTTTGGGCAAAAATTTGACATTTCTTCAACTTTTCATTTTAGGCAAAAAAGCCAAAAACAAACGGTTTAGTGATCTTCTAGATATAATAACAGCCCTTCTAGAATATAAAAACATCAATTTAAAAAGATCGCAAAATTTGCATTTTCCAAAGGGGTTAGTCCATAAATTTGGTTGAAAATTAGCCCTTTCTTAAACTTTCCTTTTAAAGCAAAAAATTCCAAGAAAAACTGTTTAGTGACGTCCTAGATATAATAATAACTTTTCTAGACTATAAAAACATCAATACAAATAGGTCGCAAAATTTATAATTTTCCAAAGGGGTTAGTCCATGGTTTTGGTAAAAATTGGACATTTCTTCGACTTTTTTTTAGGCAAAATATGCCGAGAAAAACTGTTTAACGATCTTCTACATAAAATAATAGCCTTTCTTGACAATAAAAACAACAATAAAAAAAGGTCGCAAAATTTGCATTTCTCCAAAGGGGTTAGTCAATGGTTTTGGTCAAAACTTGGACATTTCTTCGAGTTTTTTTTTTAGGCAAAATAGGCCGAGAAAAACTGTTTAGTGACGTTCTAGATATAATAATAGCTTTTCTAGACTATAAACACATCAATACAAATAGGTCGCAAAATTTGCATTTTTCCAAAGGGGTTAGTCCATGCTTTTAGTCAAAAATTGGACATTTGTTCAATTTTTGTTTTTAGGCAAAATAGACCGAGAAAACCTCTTTGGTAATGTTCTAGATATAATAACAGACCGACTAGACTATAAAAACATCAGTATAAAAAAAGTCGCAAAATTTGCATTTTTCCATGGGAGTTAGTCCATGGTTTTGGTCAAAAATAGGACATTTGTTTAACTTTTCTTTTTAGGCAAAATGTGCCGAGAAAAACTGTCTAGTGATGTTCTAGATATAATAATAGCTTCTCTAGACTATAAAAACATCAATACAAATAGGTCGAAAAATTTGCATTTTCCAAAGGGGCTAGTCCATGACTTTGGTCAACAATTGGACATTTCTTCAACTTTTGTTTTTAGGCAAAACACGCCGAGAAAAACTGTGTAACGATCTTCTAGATAGAATAATAGCCTTTCTAGACAATAAAAACAACAATAAAAAAAGGTCGCAAACTTTGCATTTCTCCAAAGGGGTTAGTCCATGGTTTTGGTCAAAAATTGGCCATTTTTTCAACTTTTATTTTTAGGCCAAATAGGCCGAGAACAACTGTTTGGTAATGTTCTCAATAGAATAATAGCCTTTCTATACTGTAAAAACATCAATATTAACCGTCGCAAAATTTGCATTTTTCCAAAAGGCATAGTCCATAATTTTTTAGGCAAAATAGGCCGAAATGATCTTCTAGATATAAGAATAGCCCCTCTAGACTATAAAAACATCAATATAAAAAGGTCGCAAAATTTGCAGTTTTCCAAAGGGGTTAGTCCATGGTTTTGGTCAAAAATTGGACATTTGCTTAACTTTTCTTTTTAGGCAAAATAGGCCGAGAAAAACTATTTAGTAATGTTCTAGATAGAATAATAGCCTTTCTAGACTATAAAAACACTAATATAAAAAAGTCGTAAAATTTGCATTTTTTCCAAAATGATTAGTCACCGAATGTGGTCAAAAATTAAACATTTCTTCAACCTTTCTTTTTAGGCAAAATAGCCTTTAAAAAAACTGTTTATTGATGCTCGAGATAGAATAATAGCCTTTCTAGACTATGAAAACATCGATACAAAAAGGACGCAAGCTTTTCATTTTTCCAATGGGGTTAGTGCATGGTTCTGGTCAAAAGTTTGAAATTTCTTCATCTTTTCTTTTTAGGCAAATAGACCGAGAAAAAGTGCTTGGTGACGCTCTACATTAAAAAACTTGCCCTTTCTAGACTATTAAAACATCGATTTAAGAAAGTGGCTAAATTTTCATTTTTCCAGAGGGGTTAGTTGGTCGTTGGTTTTAGTTAAAAGGGTTAGGGTTTCCTTTTTTTTAGCCAAATAGACAGAGAGAACATACTAGATAGAAAGCTAACCTCCCTAGACTATAAAAACATCGATCGCAAAGTTTGCATTTTACCAAAGGGATTAGCCCATGATTTTGGTCAAAAACTTGAAATTCATTCATCGTTTCTTTTTAAAAAAGGTAGCCCAGGAAAAATTGTTTGGTGTCGTTTCAGATAGAAAACTAACCTTGTTAGACGTCGCAAAATTTGCATTTTACTACATGGGTTAGTCTATGGTTGTGGTCAAAAATTTGAAATTTCTTCATTCTTTCTTTTTAAGTAAAAGAGTCTGAGAAAAAGTGTTTGGTGATATTTTAGATAGAAAACAAGCCCTCTAAACTATAAACACATGGATTTCAGAAAGTCGAAAAAAAAAGAAGATTTTTCCAAAGGGTAAATCCATGGTTTTGGTAAAAAATTTGAAATTTCATTTTTTCTTTTTAGGCAAAGAAAGCCGAGAAGTTCTAGTTACATAACTAGCCTGTCTAGACTATAAGAACATCAACATAAGATAATCGCAAAATTTGCATTTTCCACGGGTGTTCTGGTTTTTGTCAAAAATTGAAATTTATTCATCGTTTCTTTCAAGCAAAATAGCCCAAGAAGTCTGGTGACGATCGAGAGAGAAAACTAGCCTTGTTAGACTATAAAAACATCAAATAAAGAAGGTCGCAAAATTTGTATAATTTTATAGGGGTTGAACCATGGTTTTGGTCAAAATTAGAAATTCTCTATCCTTTCTTTTTAGGCAAATAGGCCGAGAAAAAGTGTTTGGGAACAATTACTTATTGTAGTAAATACGGTACTTACTTCTGTTGAAGGCGACATCCATCAATGACGAGGCAACGTTCTGATCTGTTGGTCTTGAGAGACCAAGAAGATGGAGAAGACTAATGAAGCATTACCATCTATTACTTCAGCAAGCAGGGGTTATTCTCGGTTATACAAAGGTACTTGTCCAAGGCCATTGCTGATTCAGCAACTTGCTTATTTTTTTATATAGCAAGTATATTTTTTAAAAAATGTGTTCTCGTTTTTATCCACTCCTTGTTTTTTTGTTAATGCTTTAGGAAATGTTATTTTTAGATATACCTGTTATAGTAATAATAAAAATAATAATAATAATAATAATAATAAGCAATTAATGAATGAGGCTGAGTATCTTATGAAGAATTATGGAGATCGAGGAAGGTGTTATCCGTCGAGGCCGTAGACCGAGGCGGATAACACCCTCCGAGATCTTCATAATTCTTCATATGATACGAAAGCCGGATTCGATAATCGTTTTATTATTCATTCGAAATACTCTATTCCTAGTTTAAAAACATGGCTACAACATGCTTACCTCCATCGATCCATCGATGTTAAGTTCATCTTCGATAGTGCACGTTTAGGTTGTTCAGCTCTGCAAATATTCTCCAAATAGCAGATGTCGCCCTTCGAGTTGTGTTCTTGCTGTTCTTGCCATGTTTTTAGCTATTATTTCGCCTAGTTCTTACTCTTGAAACGAGTGAAACGAGTCCGTCAGTTTTGTTTTCACAGCCAAAACAACTCAACCTCGTTCCCAGGTCTTCTCGGTTAACGGTGCATTAACCTGCAAGAAAGCTGCACTTTTGACGTCATCGGTTCATTCAAAGCAAAATTCTTCCAAATTTGGTCATCAGTAGCTGGTTATGGTGAATTATGCGTATCCTTTTAGCCAATCAGAATCGGGGAAATATTTGATTGAATAATAATACACTTTATTTAAAGAGGGTAGCACGGAATAGTTACAAAAACTAGCAAACTTGTGGCCCTCTATCTAAATTAAAATAACAACAAACATTAGATTCCGAATATACAAAATCTAGGTACAAAATAAATAAAACTAAGGAAATATAGAAGTTCTACATCAATATAAATGAGCTTAAGCACTAATGATATGGCTAGTGAAATATATACTGTTGTAATACTTGTTATCTATTTTAAGACATAAAGATAGACTAGATTGATTGCATAAGAGGTCAACAAACCAAAAGCAATGTGACAAGAGAATTTGACATTTATTGAAACAATTTTACTTTTACACACGATTTGCTTTAGTGAAAAAGGCCCTTAGCTACGTAGCCGTTTCTTGCGGTCTGTCAGTAAGCCCTCGGTTCGAGAATAGGGCTACCTCCCTGCAGCAATACCACACTCAGCAGTGACTATTAAGTCGCTACTTATCCACTTGCTAACGTGACGTAATATAGTAAACACAAGAGTGTCATATGATACCGGCACAGCTACCCAGCTAGGTATTTTTAGCTGACTTCGAAATCTAAAGGTAAAGTTAACAATATTTTGTGCAAATTAAGTTCTTCTATTTCCAAACCTCCTTCACGTTTGTGACTTCCACTACTTTCGTGAAGAAATTAAGAATGCTATGGAGTGACTTACAGACGGACCGAATTAATATGCACGCGATGAACAACTTGTTTACAACACTATTTGCGGTAACACTGAAACCTAAATGTAGATTCATCACTCACTGTATGTTCAATTATTTATAGATGCATATGGTAGTTCTGTCATATTTAAATCCTCTCTCTGTTCATTGACATTTCCATTCCTTGCATTCCTCTCTACCGCTAATTCAAATGGTGTTCTACTTTCCAAGGCATACGAGGACTTAAAGGCGTCACTCCGTGTGTTTCTTTCAACCGCCAACTCAAATGGAGTTTTATACCGTGTATTGTTGTTGTGCTGAAGGTCGTCTTCAGCGACAAAATCCGGCGTTTGAGGTCTTTGCTTTGAGTTGTTTGCAGTATGCGCTGTTCCGGGCCTCAGTTTACCTTCTTTGTCCTTGAAATAAACATCGCCGCTGCGGTATGATATTTTGCTGGCTTCACTTTGTCGTCTGCGGTAAGGGATGTTTTGTTGTGCAGGGTCATCCATATCGAGACCATACCTTCACAATAAATAGAAAGGTAGTTGAATGTTTAGCTGAACGAAGTTTTTAATATTAAATAACAAGGGTAACGAAAACCTAATAATCTTGTTTAGTTTACTATTCTGAGTGTTTCGATTTCTTTTTTTCAGCCGAACCTAATGTTAAATACTATTAAATCATATTTAATGTAGTTAACGACTAGGAGCTATGGTCTCGGGTGTTTTGGGCATTCTTTGGTAGCGCGTTGGTCGACTGTAGCGTTGTGCGTGACTATGTTTGCGTTTGTAGCGTTTACCATTGTTCGTGAGCATGGGGGCAGATTCCTGTCCAGCGGTATGTTGCTTTGGCGCATGCGGAGGCCACGTGCCTACGTTGTGTTTGCGTTGTACTCGAAGCTTTCTTAGCGTGGCGTGGCGTGGCATTCCAGTAGCGTAGCGTTTCTCTTGGTTCCCCTCCCTCCCTCCGCTTTCTTTCTTATTTATTTATTTAGTTATTTATTCTTTCAGGGGTTGGTTCATTTTACTTCCACTGGGCTTCTGGCCTCAGTGTGACGGGTGCTATAGTGGGGGGCTGGGCGCGGGGGGCTCGTGGCTGGGTTGCGGGTTGGTAGGCCTGTGGGTGTTCTTCCGCCTTGGGGTGTATTGCGGTTGCAGCCCCCTGGCCCATGGGCACCCAACCTCCACTTGCGACGCAGGCGTTAATGAGTGAAAGCAATAGCTTTTCCTCATTAGCATTAGGTTCGGGACATGTGACGTTCGAAATTTGACCCAGGCTTTCACTAATTTTTAATCAACAACTATTGAATGAGGCTTAGTATCATCTGAAGAACTACTGAGATCGAGGTGCGTGTTATCACCGAAAGCTGAATTCAACAATTGTTTTATCATTCATTGAAAATAATTGCTAGCATAAAAACAAGCTAAAACATGCTTACCTCCATCGATGTTAAGTTCATCTTCAATTGCCTGTTTATCGACAAGTTTAGGAAATAAAGGGTTGGTTGTTCGGTACTGCGAATATTCTGCAACCTCGTCGCCAGGTATTCTCGGTTAACTGTTCATTTTTCTGGCCATTACACTGCACAATTGGTATATTTTTCACATATCGCAAAATTCGTCCAAATTTGGTCGACAGTAACTGGTTATGATGAATTATGCGTGGGTTTTTAGCCAATCAGAAACGGAGACATATTTGAATGAATAAATAACTAGCTGTCCGAGCATTGTGGCTAATCTTATGACCGGTCTATCTTAAAACCTTGTCTAGACGATATGCAATATAGCGCAACTGGTCAGCTTTACAGTAGTTGGGCTGGATTTAGTTAATTTTTGATGCTTTTTTATGTGCTATATATTTGTGGCAAAACAAAGCTACAGCATCGCAACACGATAAAGCCGATGACGTTCCCTACCTGGCAGAAGGCTTTGGTCTCTTGATCACCAAGCACACAACAATAATAACCATAATAAGAAGAAGGAATGCAGCTACTATGACGGTCCACCACATGGTCTTGAAAAATCCCGCTAAAGAAAAAATAGACAACTTATTACAATCTTTCTAGATTGCGCGGTTTTGGAAGAAATAATTAGCGATGAAATTAGTATAGCTAATACCATCATTTGTATTGATATTTGGCATATATACCACGAGTGATATTTCGAAATATGCTACTACCCACAAAAGGTGTAATTTTCACATATAAGTTAAAATACCACTGCTCTAAGCCAATCAAATTGCAGAAATTTCTCATTTAGTAGTATAACGATGGTAACAGTGGTGGCGGAAGGATACATGAGAAGCGTGAAAGCATGGAAACAATGCAATTGTGGGGCGAGTGACAAAGTCTTTTTAGAGCTAAAACCAGCTGAAAGATAATTAGAACACTTTCCAAACAAACAGCGTTTTTTACTCAAATGCGGCTGAGTGAAAGGATTTTAAATTTATAATGGTCATTAGCGGATGAAAGAATAATTTTGTATAATTCGGTAACGGTTCAGTGATTTCAGTTAGAAATACTGGCGCCCTTTATTCATACGGAAGAAAACATTTGGCTTTTACTTTAATTTAGGCCTGTTTGAACAAACCAACAATTTGATCCCCACAATACTACTTTCGGATTGCCGATATTGACGCTTCAGCTGAAGTGTACGACCACTTAATCGATAGCTTTTGACCAGCAACTTTATCTCTTGTTCTTTACCGAAATAAGTAAAATAGAATATGTTTTCCTTTAAGTTAACGTGTCAAGAAATGAACATAAGTTACCTTCACAAGTAAGACCGTTTATTCATAAGGAAACAACAATAGGTTCAGACTTAATTTACTCCTGTTTAAACCAATCAAAAAATTCCATCCCCAAAAGACTACTTTCGGATATTGAGGCTCTAGATGAAGTGTATGACCACTCACGGATCGATAGCTACTGACCAGTTGCTTATCTAATGTTTCTTTCCAAACTAAGTAAAACAGAACATAAGTGAGCATAAGATACCTTCACAGGTAAGACCATCACCATCGTAACCATCATTACATTGGCATTCAAACGATCCATCTTTGTTAATGCAGGTGGCATGCTGTGCGCAGTTATCTTGGTGAGCTTTACACTCGTCAAAATCATCAACTGCACATAAAGACAGATAAATTAACGGTTAGTCATTTGCTCTGGAAAGAAATATTCTTGAAGTTCAAGACGATACGAAACAAAATTGTGCAATTGACATTGTACAATTTCCACATACACCTACTTGCAAAGACATTGTCATATAAAATGGAAAATTTTAGAAACACAGAGAGATTAAGAAGCTTGGCTTAACCAATTCATGGCTTTTAGCAGTGCATGGAATTTCGAAAAGCAATACTGACGTCTCCAGATTCACCTATTAACCATCAATAACACCTAAAAGACCATTATTCGCTTTAGTAATATTTAGAAACAGTTAATGTTTGAGTATTTTTTTCGCTTTTGATTTTCCTTTTTTTTTTCATTGTTCTTTTTCATAAAATTGTTATTGCAATTAAGTATATTTTCACACAAAAACGGCTTAGTTACCGATAATATGAAACGAACCTACCTGAAATCTTTGCAACAGAGACTTCAAAAGGACCAAGGAATGAATTGTTTACAACACTTGCAAGTGCGTCCTGTAAATCCTGTAAAGCGCCAGTGAAGTCACGACTCGTGTAGATCAAGAAATCTACAACAACACTTCCGTCACTGTAAACAAAAAAGTGATACAGTTTTCATATAGCAAGGTCTTCAAATACTCCGAAAGAGACGGTCAAAAGAAATTCCAATTTCCTACGCACGGACAACACCTTTTCGTTAAGTAAAGTCCTCCGCTAGTCTGTTTTAAAAGAGGTCAACCTGTTTCCTATTGATTCATTAAAACCCACAACGTCTCTTTAACGCTAGCCTGATCAGACAAGCTCTTTCAAGAACTCGTCGATATGACCGAATCGTAAAAAAAATGGTAGGTAATCTCCACGTGTAAAAGCATAAACTACGTTACCTAAAATCCTGGACACGACATCCATAGTAGTATTGCCTGACTGAAGATTCTTTGAATTTTCCATTCACCTAAAATTACATAGGGATTAAACGAACATGCACACAAACACATTACACAATAAGGAGACTGAAACACCCTCGAAACTTAAACTGACATTTGACCGTGTTATGCATTTACATCGCTAACTGAAATTCTTTCGTTTCCATTTATTATAAGTGGCTGGATTCAACCGTTTCTTAAAACGGACAATAATTGCAATTTTTAGTTGTAATCTATTAACCTGTTATGTAACTTGCAGCTGAGGTTATTTTGCGGCGCATCCTGGCTTTCTACCGACTGAGTGTTGCAATATAATCCTCTGGTTTCGGCATCCATCGTATAAATATTTTTCATTAATTTTGAGCCTACTTTTTGAAACTAAATAATTAATAAAGTTAAAGTTACTACGAACTGGCAAGGGAATGGAACTTTGCCTCTCAGTGTTAACTGCAAGGTCTTAAACTTTTAATCAATAACGTGGAGAGGATCGCAAAAAAATCGCTATTTCCAGGCCATTAGAAGTTCTTCTTTGGGTGTTATGGAGAAAAGGCAACAAAACAAACGTTACTTTGGAACGTATCAGCAGCTTACCGTTTCTTCGAACATTTCCTTCAAATCATAGAAATCTCCAGCTGATTTTATCTTGTAACTTGATTTATATACCAAGTTTTCAATGGTTATTTTACCTGCAAAAGTCTTGCTGGCTGAAGAGAAAGGCAAAACATCCAATTAAGAGTTGTCCGAGCATTGTGGCCTATCCTATTTAAAGCAAATATTAACGGGCTTTCAGGATTACAAAGAACGCACTCAAATGTACATTTCCGTTACTACTCAAGTTAAAGATATTAATCCCTGCAGAGGCAACTCCAAAGCCGTTTAACAATCTCTTCCGCCCTTCACCGAATGGCGAAAGAGCGCGATCCTGATTTTCATTCACAACATGCAAACTGATCTCTGCAATTTTTTGAAAACGAATACAGCGTATGCAGATAACGTCAATAATAATAATAGAGCGCATGGAAACAACGTATCTTCCATCTGGTGTTTCACACCTAGCGACTCTGTAAGTGCAAAGATATCGAGTTTAGAAACTCGCGGTATGGAGACTTAACTATAAAACTGCTGTAACAATAATGAGAACTTAAATTAACGATGAAAAGCGGTTGCATTTTTAAAACAGTCATAAAATGTTTTTTCCACTGATACGTTGCCCAGATTTAAAAGATTAAGAATAAAGCAAAAAGCACTTTTTGCAATCTATCTTTTAGGAATCCTCCACCTATCTTAAATGTGTTTTTCAAAAAAACCTTACGTTTACACTCTCCTCTATTATTGACTTTATAGTAACCAATGGCATTGCATTCACAATCGTATCCACCATGGTAGTTCTGGCACAAGCTGTCATCACCGCATTGTTTCGTAGCACATTCATCTACATCTGCGTATTTAGAAGGCAAATTAGATATGGGTTAACTAAGTTCATAACTTTTAATCTCTCTGGTTGTAGTCCAACCTTTTCCCATCAAAATTTTATGTGCTTAAGCAACCACGAGGACGCCGACAACGAAAACATCAAAAACGCAAAAGAAAAACATTGCACGTGCAACTCACTTTTTGGTTCATTGGTTTGGCGTCACTGAACGACCGCCAAGTGAAATATTTTAACGTGAAGTTTCACGTTGGAGGTAAACACAGAGTTAAGCGTGTTGGAGTGAAACTTTGAAAAAACGCGTACTAATCATCAAATCTAAGTCACAGATGTCATGACGTTTGGAGAGTACATCTGCTGGCCTTTGTCCTCTGCGGCACGTGAGATTGGAATATGTAGTAATTTTCTAGTTCAGATAAAAACACAAAAGGGTGTGTTACCTGAGCAATTTGGGTCATTTCCAGACCTGACTGTTCCTCTTTTGCACGGGAGAAGTGTTGGTGGTGCGAATGTACGGGGGGTAAATGATTGCCGTATAGTAAATTCCACTAAAGAAAGCGGTCTTTCACTACCGAGGTCCTGAAGGGATACTCCCTTGTAGTAGGATAAATCATCTAGTGTGTAGTTCTTCAACTTGGCCTGCTGTTCAGTAGTCCAGTTGAAAATGAATGAAGCATTCTGTGCAGATATGTTGAGTATTGCATCGATGACATTGAATATACTTTCATTGTACAGAGCTGACAAATTCAAGCCTTTAGCCGCAACAAGGTCTAACAACGGAGAATTGTTCAAAGCAGTTTTGGCGACGATCAAGGGTTGGATAGACTGAGTAAAAACAGCTTGGTATTGGTGTAATGTCATATTTTCTACAATCTCAGTTGAGGTTCGCAAAAAACTTGACAATCGATCGCGATCCATACCAAGAGCTACAGTGGCTTTTAAGTAGGCATCCCTCACTATGTGCTGTACCATTACAGGCCAATGAGACGGAACAGTTAGGTTAAACTCATAAGGGGAGACATTAAGCTGATTCGGAAGCATCTGAGGGTCGAAGTCGATGAGCTGATTAAGTTGTCTGAGGGAATTCCATAGAATGTCTACTACGTCACAGTTATCACATATTCGGGAGGAGTTGACGCTGAAGAGTTCGCCCGCTTTACTAACGATCTTTGCTCGATATTCATTTAACAACTGCAAGTATGAGCTTTTGGAGAGACTTAACAGCTGCATCGTTATTTCTCTGAATGACTCCTGACTTTTCATTACTGCTATGGTTTTCGACACCAACTGACCGACATCATTTAAATTTATCGCACCTAAAATGGGCCAATCTGGTAACGAGGCATTTACCGCCCATGCAATCTTCGGCCACGGAAGCTTGAATAGATCTTCAAACATCGTTAGCAAGCTGACATTATCTGCCACTTCAAGGCTGAATTTGGCTGCCAAATCGTTTACAGTCAAAGTCGATGCAGCAACAACTAGTGCTATCTTTCTACATGACATCTCGTTGTCCACCCCAAGCAATGACTCTATAAAATCTTGGGGCCGCCTGCTTAGGAAATTGCCTTCAGACAGATTACAAAATCCTCGAGTTTCCAAAATTGTGTAGTTGGCTAAAACGTCAATTCCGGTAGAACTGTAGTTGTAGAGTAATAGAACCTCTGATATAGTGATGCTGATTCTCTCTTCAATAAATTCTAAGAAAGTAACCTCGTCTAATGAGCCACTCGTTATTCCAATAGCCGTTATGATCTGCAGTAATGTTTCCATCTCAAAAGCTTCCTTACCTCTGAGTAGCCTGGAAAACATACTGTCCCATTTTGATTCAAGCTGCGCAAGCGATAAGTTCTGAAGGTTCTCAGGTATCTCTTGTAAGAGTTGAGCGAAATTTTTTATCGTTACGCCCAGCTGACGTTGACCACTTCGAATGATCTCGTTCTTTACAAATGGTATCATCTCGCGCCACTCAGTAGGAGAAAGCTTTTCAAGTTCCCCAGGATTCAAATCTAATGACACTTCGATCCTGCTAACGGACACATTGAATTTGTCAACTAGGTACTGTATCGTTAACGCAAAGACTTCAATAGGAAACAGCAAATAATACTGCGCTTTGGATTTACTCCCAAAATGCATCAGCTCTGCTTCATTCGTATTAAACAGATCATAAAGAAAATTCAGAGTACCGTTCCGCTGTTCAATTATCTTGGCATGGATATCTACATTGTTTGCGTCCTTTAGCTCTACTGATTTATTGAGTATTTGCAGAAAGGCCGTCGATAGGTATGGATCTAACTGTAAACTAGAAGTGACTTCCTTGTACGAGTCTTCGTTTAGAACGTACAGTACCGTCCAGTCTTCCATCTTTAATCCAAAGGCCCAAACGTTTCGTCGCCATGGAAGACCTGTCACCTTCTCAACAAGAGTCACAAAAGAAACGCTGGAGTTCGTGAAAAGGCTGAATTCAGACTTCAACTGAGACATGTTTTTGTTTCGGGCTGAGACATAAAAATTCGTATTTGTACACAAGGGCGCGGCTTCCCTAGTCCCAACGACTTCAGCGGTAATGTTTAACGGTGTTTTGTGCTTGACGGTAGACGTGTTGAGGGTACAATAAAGTGGCAAATCATTAATACGCAAGGATTGAAGGATGAAAATTTGATCTGAATTGTATCCATATAACAGTTTGAGTTCATTGGAACTAAATCCACTTGCTGACAACACCAGAGAGAAAACAGATGAATTAAGGTAAGCATCGTCAGAGACAGCATTCTGAGACAAATACATGATTAAAGGCGCGGTTTCAAACTTTGTCTTGTGGCGTTTAGCGTCTAAAATTTGATTTTCTATCAGCTCCTTTAACTTTGCAATCGATAGTTCCACAGTTTGGACACCCAAAAGTGTCAGTAAGTTTTCCGTTGATATCTGAAGATCACTAGCCTCGGACTGCACAACGGAATTAACAATAGTAGCAATTACACTTCTCCATTCTTGTCTTGGTAGGTTATAGAGTGTTTTTTCAGACAATTGCAAAGAGAACACGATATCGCCTAAATTCAATCTAAAGTTTGCGATGGTTGCGTTCAGATATCGTCTGAAAAGCAATGAAGATGGGGCACCTTGAAGGGACACTTCACTTACAGCAGTCTGGTTTCCCACGTCACTTAATGAGAGGTTGAATTTTTCTCTAAGAAGAGCTCTCATAAATAAACGATGGGTTTCAGTCTTGTTATTGAGAGACCCGTCTGCTCGCAGCTTCAAAAGAAGAACCACTGCCTCACTAATTGAGTCGTTGAGCAACGTTTCCAGGGAAACTTCACCGATTTCTGACAGCTGTGGCAACGTTACGGAATCCAGAAACTCCCAATCTGGGAGAGATACATTCACAGACTCGTAGACTTGACGCCATGTAAGATTCGACACGTCTGTTAGGATTTCCAGCACACTTGCGTTTAGCGTGTTAACACTGCTTTTGAACGACGCAATGGATTTTCCTTTAATGCCGATCAAAACACGACATGGCGGCGATATGTACAGAGATCCCACAACCTTCCACGAGACCTCAGGCAAGGTGATGCTCAAAAGAGTTTCTGTTGAAATACCACACATGCGAAAGATTTGATAGAATGTACACCTGCCTATTGCCTTGACTTGCTCTCCTGTGAGATTGTACAGAATGCCGAATTCTCTGGTGGAAAGTGATATATTCTCGTGGTGCTGCAGTATCTTCGCCAAGGTCACATCACTGTAGGATTCTCCGAGCAAGATCCCAGAGGAGTTTATGAGAGAAGAGGTGCTGTTCTTGTCAAGTATCGCCTTCTTGGGGAGGAAAGGAAACACCATTTCTTCGAATCTACTAAGGTTTACGTTAAGAAAATCTGGCACTTCCATGTCCATCAATTCTGCCAAGGCATTTACAGTGGGAAGTTCAAGCAGTCTGGAAAATGCAGAGGAACTCTCATTAACCATTGCATGAACAACGGTCTCCCAGTTGGCCGGGTCGAAAGAACTCGACAGATTTATGGCTGGAATTCCTAGAATAGACGCCACTTTGTCTAGGTCAAAAACGAATTTGTGACTGACAAATGTTAAAAGTTCCTTTTGATAGTCAGCTGGTGTCTTCGTTGCAGCGATTAAATGATTAGAGTAGTTGCTGTCCAACTTGTCAAAAGGAACACTATAAGACCAATAGTAATCAAGGTTTTCTAAGTCCGCAGCGGTGACTGATGAAGAAATGGTAAATGAAACAACGGCAACTTTAATTTCGTCTAGGTTTTCAGAATATGTGAATTCCAAAGTCCAGTGTTTTTCGGTCCTAGCATGTTGTGTAGTAACTTTGTCGTATTTTGCTTGCGGCCCAAAATCAACAGTAAATATGCGCTTAAGCGGCATATAAAGGAAAGGTAATATGAACTGTCCCATGACTGGAATAGGGGTAATTATCAGAAGAAAAAGCCAAACTCCCCTCATCTTCTTTCTTGTAATAAGTTCGGGCGAGAGTGGAGACGTCAACAAGATGAATCCCTATAACTGAAACAGAAGACCAAAAAAATAAATCTATCACAATTCCAACAAAATTATATTAGACAATACGGAAAAATACCTCCCCTCCCTCATGAGACGAGACAATGACTGCGTCCAAAACACAGCCTGTATTACTGCAAAACCCAGAATATACCAGTTAAATAAAAACTGGGATTATTTCAAAACACTGCCGTTTTCGGAAGCTGGATTTTCTATGAGCATAATCTTTAAGGTTACGTTCTCCATCCGTAACTTCAGGTGGAGGATAGTTTTGCGGGTTGTTTCTTTTGTTGTCAGCGAATTACATCACACGCTTTTAGGGCCAAAAATAAACATGATAATAAGTAATTAGGTTTCTGTTACCCCGTGTTTATTAAGAGACTGAGAAATAGGAATTGCAATAAAAGGACGTCATCCTGGCCCCCTTTTTAGTTCAACTTTGTAAATGGTTTTTAAGCCAGAAGCTAACTGTATTAATCTCACCGCAACTTAACTGAGGGCGGCATAAAACAAATGAAACACATTGACAGACGAGAAAGAGATTGTTTCTCTAAGCGAGAAACAATCACCTTTGTCAAGACTTCAAGAGAGGGAGTCTTTTGATATGCAAATACGTTTATTAAACACAGGTTGCTCACCAAAAGGAAAGCACTGTCACAGGTTACCAAGCAAAAAGCAGGTGGTGGTATTCAGGTCAATGTTATCTTCGTGCGCACAATGATTGACGATATCTATGCAGAAGATAACGAGCCGAGATGACACCTGACTCACATAATCTAATAACCATAACATAACTCCTGCTCTTGAACAAAACACTTTCGTTGTAGAGCAGTATCATCTTAATTAGCTTTATCTAAAACAAAAAACGTAAGCAGCAGCTATAAGGATGAACGCTCAGTTGGACTCACCACTGTCCGTGAATGTTTTATCTCTGCGGGTTATTAGTAAATCATCATAGCGTGAAACTTGGAGTATTTTTATTGAGAAATACACAACCCGTTTCCAATGATAAATTATGTAAAATATCTTACCAACAGATTCAGCACGCTTTGTTTATATGATAAAAGTTCGAAACTAAAAGCTTTGCTTATGTTTCAGCACAACTGAACTATGTAAGGCTTCTACATCTTTGAGTAAATGCAGCAAAGTAGAATGAAAGGCCAACTACAGAAATGTTTATTAAATGGTGGAAGTGAAGTCAGAAGTTCAGCCTTTGTAATGAGTAGCGGTTTTCTGGTTAGGTGCCAATTTACCAAATAGTCTACAAAATCAATATCGACTGCAAAATTAAATAACAAATTACATGTGGAAAACGTAAATTTTTACAAGTCAACTTTTTACAAACCTTTCTATAGCGTTTACTTGTATAATCACAGTATATTAAAACACTGATTTCAATCCATTCAGTACAGCGCAATTTTTGTCAGCCAAAGTTGCCAGCCCTTCGGCTTGTTATCAGACAATACATTTTAGTCGCTGAGTGAAAAACTGTAAGATTAAAATCTAGCCCCCAATTTAAGTTCAACCTTTCTTAAAAATAGTAATAGAAGCTAAGGCAAATACAGAATTAGGTAGAAAAATCTTGACTAAGGTAATACGACCTACCTCGTTTCGCTGTTATTTGAACTGAATCTAACTTCTTGTTTCCCGCCTTTGTGCAAATAAGATTAGTACCAAACCGGGAGCAACCTTCAAAAGTTGTATTTTTCCGCTACGTAGTTAAAACGATACCAAGCAAAAATACTCGTACTTTACCGTACCCAAATGAAGCTTCCAAAAATAATAAAGAAATTCAAGTTTCCCTCATTATGACTGACGCACTTAAGAGAAGTTATCGCCCGCTCAAGATCGTCTATCATGTCAAAAAAAGAATTTGCATATTTTGTTTAATTTTCAACACCAATGGACAGCCTCAGGGTTATTTCAGATGATTCACAGGGTGTTATTACAGCTTAACTTTACAAAACACTTTCTCCCCCGCAGTTAACTTTAAGTCACTGAAAACTTTGCAGTCTGCAAATGAATTCCTAGGAAGCTTCAATTCAAATAGAACCTATTGCTTCCAGCAGGGTTGCTATTTGTATAGGTAATAGCATGATTTGTAGTGAAGTGGTATTTATGCCAAACATTACGTACAAATCATGCTATTTGTTTATACTACTACCCGCAAAGGTTTTGTAATTTTCACATAAATTAAGCTGAAATACCACTGATCTATGAAACAAGAGAGCTCTAAATCTCGATCCAATAAGTGTCTTTTAACTCACACGTATCTTTAGTAACCTCTTTTTTTGCCCAGCAGCCAAGTTGGCTAGATTTTCTGTTTACAAATGAAAACCTACAACAAGCAAGTCCAATGGCAAGGCATTTCTTCTTCCAAATATTTTTGTTGATGAAGTCAAATCTTTAGGTCCGATTATGGAAATGCCCGCACTTCATTCATTCTGACAGTAGCGTTTCCTTCAGTAATTCACATGCACATGCATCCAAACGCATCGAGGAAATATCACCATCTTCTAGTTGTGCCGTTCACCTCTTTCATCTGCTTTTAGTAAAATATATTTGAGCGCCTCGATTACAGGGTCTTTTTTTCCACGTATTTTTTTTAGTAAAAACAAGAAACTTCTACATCCAGTAGGGTTTAGATCACAATTACTCAAAAACAAAATCTTTGTTATAAAAGTTTTTACGGCAGGTTGCAAACAAACGCATCAATAATAAAATTGTCTTATTTGAAACATCGTTAATCATTAAACTCCTGCTCGAAAAAACAACTCTGGCTCATAGAACCAAAGCGTTCCGATGACATCACGAATTCTTCATTTCAAGAAGCTTGTTTTTATGCAAACAAATTTTTAGCCTTAAATTGCACCAACGAGAACGTTCTTGAAAACAAAATAATCATTTTAGCCTCGGGGAATATTCTTTAAAATTGAAATTCTTTGTTGTGGTTGTTTATGACCGGTAGCAGCTACAAATAACACCGGAAATAATGCTGCCATTGACACATCAAACATTCGTCTGTGAATCGAGAAAACCTGTTCCGTGTACAATTTAACTCGCTCGCCACTGACCGCCACGATCTACTATCTGAACGCCTGGAACAGGCTAGAATCGAGTAACAATAACTGACGGAAACACGAGAAGGTAAAAGACCGAGAAAGGTGTTTAAAAAAATCCTGTAGATTAGCAGGTGGGCGTCCTGTTTTTCTCAAGTCAATTAAAGAAAACTTGCTTTTCACTTTAAAAAAAGAAAATATATTTTATCAGAATAACGTAAGTCTCGCACTCGAATCATTAAATGGACATTCCTGAGAAATTGCCTGCCAATTTAATAAATTGATCTTCAAGTATGAAACTCCAACTTAGGGTAGCCTGTTTGGAAAGAAGCGGTGTGTTCGGTTCGACAGCTTGTGGGCAGGTCATCTCCAGACTCCACTGATCTTAAAACCTATATTATAACATAGCGCGCGTGCTTGCCCCAGATAACTCCTATTGAGCCGCTATGAACAAAATCTTTATTTACGCACGCTTGCGCCCGTAGTACCAAAAATCGCCGGCAATGATGAAAAACTTTCTAGCATTTTTGGAATTTAGCTTCCTACCTCTCAAACCAACAGCAAAGGCGGTGAAGATGTTTCGCAAATAATAAAGCCTGAATGATTCCTTGAAAAGTCTGCCGTAAAGACTGACATTCAGCTGAAAGAAGACCACAAATTGGTCTGTGTCGGGAAATATCCAATTTGTATAAAGTATCCTCCGTTTTCAACCTTTGTTTATCCTTTACAAAACAAGTTAATCATAAAGTTAGCTCAATAGCGAAAAATTATGCCGAACAATCCGACTGAAGCAAGACAATTTCTCTTGCAATAACAAGACAAATTACACAAGAGGACAAATTTATTACTTACAAATATTAAAAACAACTGCTGCCAGGTCTTCTCAAAAAACCGTAATGACCAGCCATTGTTCGTAAATGAATATAAAGTAGGGGGTGACAGTCGTCTTTGCTAAAAAAAAAGTTTCTGGATTTCGCCGAGCAAAACATAAACATCTTTTCATCTTTTTTATGTGGGTATTTTAACTTTTATGGGTGGACTTTAAGACTCTTTTACCTTTGTTTCTGCTTAGTTTCCATTGATCGTTGACAAATAAATAAGCAAATTTTCTTCCTCAGTTTTACAGAAAGAATTTTCTTTCAAACTAGATCATAGGCCGTTGCCACTAAGAGGTCACGTGACATCGTTTTTAAGAAAATGAAGGTTGTATGATTTTGCCTTCGATTTTGCCTTCGAAAAACAATTAGTGGGTCATATCTTAAACAAAATAATAGTGATTTGGTTTTTCAAACCCGCACAATTTTCTTAAAATGAATAAGTTCGTAGCTGGTCACGTGACCAAAATGTGATTTTTAAAATTATGAATCACCTCTTTCTGAATGTAAATTTTGCACTTAAACTTCAAGGAAAATGTTAAAAAGATGATGTGGTAACTTTTACAGCACGTCTGAGCATAAATATCAAACGTTTAACAGGATATAAGCAAAAAGTAGTTTTGGCCGCCATGTTGGAGAACAAGAGTATGCCCTCCAACATGGCGGCCAATACAAATCATACTGCTTTGTTGAAAAATCAAAGTGCCATAAAATATCTCCTTTAAATGTGTTTTCCATCAAATTTCGGGTGTAAGACAATTTTTATGCGCTCTGTCAATTTTTGGCATCAGCAAGTTTCCAACTCATTGTTTAAAGGCAGCACTGGTCACGTGACCTCTTAGTGCAAGTGGCCTATTGTGGCGTGCATCCATAACTCGATATACGCACGCTGAGCATGAACAAATTTTTAACTTAACTTTTTGTTGGTAAACTTGGTTTAAGTTGGTTACTACCGAATTTACTTAACTGTTAGCACCTCGGAAAAAATGTTCATTTGCATCATAATTTTTGAAAAGCTTGTTTGACCATTTTGAACAACCATATTTTAAAAACGCACTTACCAAGGTTTGCGGTTTAAATGTTCTAAGAATGCATGCCAGGATAAACATCTCTTCCTCCGCTCAACATAGCATTAATAATCAGTGACCTCGCATCTTTTCCACTTGATTTCCCGGCCAGCCATAAAGTTCTTTCGTGACATTCATGGCCATTTCAACCTCGAGCCGTTTGAACCGTTGCCTTACTGAAAGTAGGGAAAGTCACATGACCATGCAAAGCGCACGGAATGGTTACGTGAGCTATTTTGCTGATGCAGACGATCACTTTGTTCGGAGTGCTAAAAGTTAGAAATGTTAAGTAATAACACACATTTACATCTATCAGCTTTTAAAAAGGAAGCAAACTCATTGCTTTCTTGTCATCCTTCTCGGAGGGATTTGCACAAGTAGTTTTCTATGTACCTTTGACAAGCAGTCTTTTAAACGTTATCATCATGTTTAGACATAGCGTCCGTGTTCGAAATTCAAGGAAAGATCTTGTTAACGCCAGCACCAACTTAAAGAATCGTCTATTCCAGTCCATCTTATAGAAGACAAATCTTGCAAAGTCTTAAAGGGAAACTTTCATGGAACGCCTGCATAACAGCAAAAAATAGCATTTATCAGTACAGTCAAACCCTGTTAAAACGGAAACTTAAGGGGCTATAAAAAGTGTTCGTATTAACGGGATGTCCGAATTAAGCAGGTTGAATTTAGAGAAAATGTGAGAGCTTTACTTCGGCAGGGACAAAGAAAACTGTCCGTAATAATGAGGTGTCCGTAAAGCAGGGTTCGACTGCATATTCCCAGCTCATTTTCACATTCCACAGGTCACAAGGAAAGTAAGTAGCTGTGGCTCTGTGTTTGGCAATATCCCGACTTCCTAGTGTGGTATATATACCAAATGTTGTTACCCACAATACAACAGTTGTGGTAGCGGTTTCTTGAAGTTGGTTTATAGCTAGATTACTTTGTGGCCAGGCTAGGTATTGTTCAGTGCGGTCTGTTCAATGTTATGTATTCCGTCCCGTTCGCAACACCAACATTCTTATGGAACTGACTGAGCCCATCGGCATCTGGTGCGCAAAACCCAACTCAGTTAAAACTGGTAAATATTAAATTAGTTATCATATATTTGACAATCTCCAGTACCATTGGGGTGCTGCCCACTCCCTCGCAATTCAAGGCAATCGAAGCTACAAGAAACGTACGTTATGCCTATACTCAACGAACCTGTTGTGTTCCAGCCACATAAGTTGTTTTCGGTCAATGTCTTTCTGATCTATGCGGGATACGTCCCCAAAGTATGGAAGCTAATAAAAAACAAATATATTTCTGTTATCAGCATAATAACGGATATCAATTTAGCCTTACGCATTTTACCCTACTTTCCCCGTAAAAGTTGAAGTAAATTTATCTCGAATTTTATTTTTTTTAAAAAACAATAACTTCTTGCACTCGTGAAAAAGAGTTCACCGTAATCTAAGTGTGGGCTAAGCGAAAGAACTTTACAGTTTGTGGACAAGTCATCTCTAGTTCATTTTGGACTTTTCACGTCACTCATTTCACCTTCCATGTAGGACATGTAGCCTTTTCGAGACGTTCGGCGAAAAGAGATGTGAGCAGAAAAAACAGCGAGGGGACTGGTATATACCTTCCATGTAAATCTTTGTGTTCCTTTCTGCCTCTGTCCCAGGCCACCACTTAGTCTGCGCGGCAGCCAGGAAGGTATTACACCACCTCGCACTCGATCAACAAGAACCTTGAAAGAAGAAAGAGTGGATATCGCTGCTGTGACAACCACTGTGTTGAATCTAACTTCACATAAGAAACAAAATGTAACTTAACTGAGACAGGTAACAAAAACACAAACTGGCATACTTTATTCTTCTGAAATACCTTTTTTCCATCAACTATCAATCGTTCGTCTTTGGTTTCTCTTAGAGCCTTCTCAGCATGACTTGCTTCTGAGAACTAAAAGATTAGGAGTAAAAATTAACCGTTTTTCCTGCCTAAAACAAGAATTCATTGGTTATATCACTGGATAATTTTTGACTGATCTGAATAATCAGCAATTATTGAACGAGGCTGATTATCATCTCGCCCGAGTTTTTCAAATGTTGGACAGCGCTTTCCAATGGATAAATCATTATCCAGCAGATAACTATTAGGGAACCCAATTGCACTATCCAGTGGGTAGTGATTTATCCAAATGGTAGCTTTATTCAACTGTTAAACTTCCAGGGCCCGAAAAATAAACTTACGCAGATCAAGAAGGAGGCAGAAAGTATCCCCCCCCCCCCCCCCCCCCCCCCCCCCCCCCCCCCCCCTCCTTCCTCCCCCCCCCCCCACCCCCCCAACCATATTATTTTTTTTTTTTTTTTTTATTTATTATTTTTTTTTTTTATTAAACTTATCCTTTCTGATTTGTTTCTTTTTCTTTTTTTTTCTTTTTTCCCTCTTCTTTTTATTTTGTACTGTCTCTATTACTACTTTCATTTTAAATTTTCCCATTGTTTGACATCGCTTTCAAAATGTAAACTCGTTGCTCAGACAATATTCGTTGGGCCTCCCCTTTAGCGACGCCCCATGGTATCGCTTATTCCATATTGTCTGTTTATTTCAGTGTTAATTTCCCCGGGTCCGAAAAAGAAACCTACGGAAAGTAAAAGGGAGGGGTAAAATAACCCCCCCCCCCCCCCCCCCCCCCCGATCTGTATAATTCTTCATATCTCGCGAAAGCCAAATCCAATAATAATTTTTGTTTTATGATTCATTCAAAATAGTCCTTTCTTTAAAAACCTGCCTTGACCGATGTTAGGTTCCCGTCTTTAACTGTCTTTTCCTCGGCAAATTCAGGATATAAAGGGACGTTCAGTCTAGCAGATATTCTGAAAATAGCAGTTGTTATCCGTCGGGTTGAAGTGTTTTTAGGCAGAAGATCGGCTATTTTTTCTTCGCAAAACGTGAGAAATTTTTCCCCATTTTCTCCAGCTCCACCAAAAAAAGCTGAGTTAACACAACCTCGCCCCCGGGACATCTCCGTTGCCATGCATTTTCTACTAAGAGCCTGCATTAACACAAACTTCTTCCAAACTCTAGCGGGCTATGAGGAAGTGGCCAGGGAATTTGAGCCAATCAAACACGGAGAAATGTTTTGAATGAACTACAGACAATACACGTCATACCTCAAGAAAAGCATATCCTTTGGACTTCCCAGATTCTGTGTCCTTGACAAGTCGAAGGCTTTTAATTGCTCCATACCTGTTTTAAAAGTGAAAAAGAAAATATCTGTTCTATATTTCAGACCTGGTCAGTACTGATCGAAGCAATCTTTGCTGTGAATACGGAATTTAACTTCAGGACAAGGAAGTATAAAAAAAGGACTTCAAGGAAGGACGTAAAGTAAATGAAACAAACTCCAAGTTAGAAGTAGTTTGGACCACTGTTATTCAGTTTTTCTCTTACTGATATTCTATGTCCATGTTCTTGCATTTAAGAGTGCTTTCATTTTTGTTACAATCAGCATGCTCCAAACTTAAGCTCAGTCATGTACTATAACTAGAGACTAGCTAAGCACAAAAAAATTATTCTGCATACCTCCCTAAATTTTCAGATATCGCGTCTTCGGTGGTGTTATAGTCCTTGGAAAATTTCATATAAAATCACATAAGCAAAAAATTACAAATAAAGACGAGACAAACACATACCACAGGAAAACAAGCTAGAATTCTTTATTAAACTCTTATATCAGCTAGACAGTCGTTTTCTTCTTGTCTGCGCTATTTTGTGTCATTTTCTGTATAGCCAACAAACTTTTTATATATTCAGTCCTCAACAATTTATACAGCATATTCTATATTCTTAGGAAGCCTATAGTTCATAAGTCCCCAACTTCTACATAGGCTTCTTTGCCTTAGCCATGGAAAAAATCTAACATTAGCTACTTATACTAACATCAATTGATTCTTATATATTTCAACTTGGGACTAAATGTATATGCCGTAATAACGGTATATTTGTAATGTGGTGTATGGCAAAAATATATGAACAAATGAATGAATGGATGAATAAATGAATAAATGAAGGAATAAATGAATCCTAGTCAATGGTATTGTATAAAGTGTAAATGAAACCCTTCCACTTTCAGAGTGAATCAACAGTTAGGAGCAAAGTACATCAGTTAACATCACTTACAAGTCTTGCTATGAAGATAGTTTTGTGAGGATCTCCTTTTACTTTTTCATCAGAGTAAGGATCATCTATCAAAATTTAAAATGCATAACACACATTTCTTTCATGTCAGTATAGAAAAAATTCAGTTGTTTTGCATCAGTTTCTTTATTGCTTTTACATGCAAATAGACCTCTTTAGCTTGTATATTCTGTTTTCCCAATACAGGTCATGTGATGATATTCTAGAGAATTGTTTCTTTCAAACTTTGTCTTATTCATGTGCCTACCAACGCATAATTTATGAAAGAAAAAGGAGCAAATTCCCCTGAGTCCTCTATAATTGGGAAAACAAAACAAACAAACTAAAGAGGTCTATTGTATTAACAGAAAACAATCAGCTATAAGGTAAATAAAAAGTTGACTATGAGTGATACACTGGTTGATATTGTTTACCCATTCCCGTTCAATCAACTACTTCCCCCAAAGGGAGAAAATGTGGATCCATCACTGCCACATATAAGCCCCACCAATTAAAGGCCCGTCTAGCTGTAAACAAGAAAAAACATCAGATTGTAAGCACCCCCACCCCACAACCAGGCTGAAGGGCTTTTCCTATAGAGTCTGTGTGCGGCGGCCATGATAGAGAAGTAAACAATATAAAAATATTTGAACGAAATTGAAATTATTTCCCAAAGGAAAATGGTTCTATTGTTTTACTCCTTCAACATGGCCATCACGACATACTCTATTCCTATTATAAGCCTCTCCATTAACACCCCCTCCCCCCCCCCCAGAAACCTCTACAAACATGTATAAGCCCACAGTTTATAAGAGGTGTTTTATGGTTTTTCCCTTAAGACATTATGAAACTGCTCACTCACATCTTAAATTGTTGCCTTTGTTGATCCCCTTGCTCTTCCTCTTTCTTTTATGCTGGTGTTTTGGCCTCACAATCAGCCCCTAAGAGATCACCTTCTACATTTAAATTTAAATAACTATTGTCTAGTGCTAATACAACTGATTTAGAAAGCTCATTACTAAACCACTGATTATCTCTTAAGAAAAGAAGCATTTATATTCTGTCTCTAATGGATATGCTTATTACTCATGATAAAAAAGAGTCATGCATCTGATAAAGAACCCAGAACCAACAAGAAATTTACACGGTTACCATAAATCCCCTATTAAAATTAAAGCCCTCTCTCTCAAATAAGCTCCCCTCTTCCCGTCTCTAATAAGTCCCCCACCCTTTTCAGGGGAACAAAGTTGATAAGCCCCCCTCTTTTTTAAGCCCAACCCCCTCCCCTTCCCCTGATTATTCTTCACTAATTTATGATAGCCTGTATAAATCAATCATGACTGTAAAACTTCGAATTGGACCACTGCAAATGCAATACAAATTCGGACTGATCCAGGATAGTTTATTCATGTGTTGGAAGTTTGTTTTTTTTTTATCCTTGGCTGCATGACCTCGAACTTCTTGTACTTGAGCTTTTCCACTTTGCACTCTAGTTCTCTAAGGAGAGCTGATACCACCATCTTCACTAAATTAAATAAGCCTTCCTTTCCAATAGGCCCCCCGTCTCTATTAACCCCCAACCCCTCAAATGTGTTTGAAATATATAATCTCCCCAGGGGGGTTAATAGAGGATTTATGGTATCCAAACCTCCAAGTCTGTATCATTGCCTTAAACAACATGGGACATTGCCAACAATACTTTGGCTTGAAACCCACTAACCATGAGTGACGTTTGTTTTACATCATTCAAAGGCATCCACAGTTTTACTACTAGACCCGCTCAGTAAACTCACAAGATCCTTTGATCAAGACCAGCAGAATGCTGTCAAAATGTCACCATCAATACCTAATTGTGCCTATCTTGAGACAAATGATAAAAGAGCTGTATCATATGCACATTAACATATGCCAAGTTTAATGTTTGTCTCTCAAACACTCCTAATTGATTCTTGCATTCAATTGTTGATTTTAAAAGCATTTTAAACCCAGGATAAGGGGAAATCATCACAATTCAAAACACCAGATAAAGGGAACAGCTGGAGTCCTTTTACAATGGAAACTTAGCAAAAAAAACAGAACTACTGCATTGCTCAAAAGCAGGAAATATCAGAGGATATCTGGCTTTGCCCTTTTCAGTTTTCTCTTTACCCTGTACCCTAAAAGAGAGTCTGTTCATAGGCTAAGGTAGTGCAGCCAGATACACCTCTCAGCTATATCTATTAGCTGTTCTCCCAGCCGTAAACTACACTATAAGAATCCTTCCAAGCCACAGTCACATTGTAAATAGCAGGCCATTGCCTGCCATCTCAACTGATGGTTTGCTAGATGATGCTGCGTCTCAGCTGATAACTTGCTTTTCATTTTAGAAACGTTGCCTGAGCTCTCAGGTGACATTTCAACAAGCAAATCACATGTTTGGGGAATACAGTGTATGACTCAGACCTGGGAATTTCTGGTGTAAGTTGAGATCCCTAAGTCGTTATTTCTTTCATTTTCTTCACTGCTGGAGCGAGCACTGCTGCTTTCAGACCTTTCAAAATGTGATATCCTGAAAGTTTGCAGAGTTTCAGAGAATAACGACGACATGTTAAACAACAACAACATTAGGGAACAGGGCCAGTGAAAGGATTATAAGCATCGTTATAAAACACCATTGTAAAAAATCGTCAAAAGCAAAACAATTTCACAAACCATGGCCCAACACTCCTTCGTAAGACATCAAACTGAACACTTCTATCAGCGTTCATAATGAGGAAATATTACCGACTGTCATCCCTGGTCATTCTTCGTCTGCCGCCATTTTGGATCAGCACTAGTTACCAGTTTTAGTGGCTCAAACTGGTACTTTGAGATTTCATGTATGAGCTCACACAGTGTACTCAATAGACGACCTCGTCACTAGTGTTCTTTCCAAAAAGTTCACTCTGTTACAATGGAACCCTGTAACAACAACAACAACAAAAACAACAATACTACTACTACTACTACTACTACTACTACTACTACTACTAATAATAATAATAATAATAATAATAATAATAATAATAATAATAATAATAATAATAATAATTATGGTTTACTTTACACATCCATGGGGTGGCTTTCCTGTTAAAATACATTATTTGCAATTAAAAATAAACAAGAACGCTCTTAGTAGCGTTGAGTCTCGCTTGCCTGGAGATATTGTTGTCAAAGGCGCCGGTGCTGTTATACTACTTTTTCATTTGGAATACAAAACGAGTGTTATATGTCATAATGTAAATACTCAAAAAGTAAAACTTGCAAGGAGAGACAGGCCGAACATCTTAGCCTCAAACCGGCGTGAAACCTTTGAAAACCTTCTACATATTGATATTGCTCCATCGAGGAGTACTCAGGGATTTTACGCTCAAAAAATTGAACGATGATTGTTATCGGTATCAGGGGCCCATGACTCTGTCAGTATAAATATACATAGCTTCTTTTTACCGGACCAAGATACGTTTCGGTACAGTATCAACCTCGTTCCCAGGGTTCTCTCCTACCCGCCCCACGGAGGCACAGTATATGTTCAGCACAGGAAAAATGTGTAAGTTTAACAGAACCTTATACAACACATAGTTAATTCATTTCGTGCTAGCCTGTTGAGAGGAGAAAACGACTCGAAGCAATCGGATGAATTTCAGGCTAAGTTCGTGCGTATTCCTCCTGAATTTGTCGTCCGTTTTATAAGATATCAATATCGCGTGAAAGTATTACATTTTCCACAGCTGCCTAGTATCCACTTTTAATATCTCCGTACAGTCTCAGAGTACAAAGTTTAGAGTTGTACACAGCATGCATTTTACATAGTTTATAGATAAGAACTTTATTTTAGCACGATAAAAAGATCAGCATTGCTGGTGGGGTCGTGCATACAACACTAAAAAATTACAAGAAAAATAAGGAGTACTGAAAGCAAATGTACAATTAAAGTTTTTTTCTTTTATTACAGTATCACTGGGATAAAGCATTTCATTTTCCAGGAAAATTTCACTTTCTCGTCCAAACAATCACTGACTCAGACAGACTCGAATTACTTTACTTGAATTTAGTGTTCAGTACAGCGAACGGGGTTATGTTCTGTCAAATTTATCTACAGTCTGCGGTCCACATCATCACTGATCCACGATTTATTTATTCATTTTATTTTCAAGTTCTTTTTAACCGATCCTCGATCCCTGATTCCTCGATCCTCGATCCTGATTTTCCAGTAAACCTTGAAGTTTTGCTCATTAAGACTATTCTTTTTTTTTTTTTTTTTTTCGACCAATGAAGTGATCAGTTGTTGCAAAATAATCAACACTTTCAAGCGATAGAATTCTTGGACCAACCAGTTCCGGAAAAGCTCGATATGGGATTTCTATTCTATGGACATGAAGTGCTGCAAGTAGAGTGCGCGGATAGTCAAGTTCAAAGCTACCCGTATAAACACATCCGTGACACATACGTAACGTTAGGGTGGATTTCCACTGACGCGTTTTTGGCTCCGCACGTTAACGCACGTAAATTTTAATCACGTAAAAAAAAGTAGAGGCAAGATATAAGGTGTTGAGATTTAACGTCAAGCTGAGCGAGTTTCTACTTTTACTCTTACATAATTGTACGTGTGACCTTTCATATATTGCCTCTATTTAATTTGCGAACGCAAATTTTACGCACATACGCACGTAAAAATTACGTGAAAGTGGATACTTGATATCTCAAGTATTTATAGAGTGCAACACGACTTCATATCTTAACAACTGCGAAATCTATCAATTAAATACATAAAACAAAGTGAATCTATTAAACAGTAGATTTCGAGCAATAGCGACAATATTCTGAGACACGTGACGCCTTAAAACACCACAAAATAGGATTTCCCCGCTACATTATTTTCTCATCCTACTTGGAAATATTTCCTTTTTAATCAGTGCCTGCATGTCGTGCATAATTACACGAAAATCAAGGGCCTCCATTCGAGGAAAATTACATCATTGCCAAACTTACACGCGTCATTTCAGTCAATTCATCGCCGAAAATATACCGCTTGCTCATCACGAGTCTCATTTGCATACAGTAAAAGTCGCCACGGTTCTTATC